AGGCAACGCCCGTGCCCTTTGCCAACCTCCTGCCACGGCCGTGATGATAATTTATAGCTGGGCTTTACCCGCCGCCCTGAGGCTGACCCTCGCGCTAAGTGTTAGCCCGGATGCCCGCATTGCCTATGTGTCAGCCTATGCTGAACCAGTGGTGACACAATATACATGCAAGCCAGTGCATGCAAAAAGCGGAATGAAGACAGTCTGCCAGCCCTGGCATGCGCTTGCCAGGGAACCCTGGAGGTGCGGTTTTGCGTGCGTGTTATTCATTGATGAAATCGTCTAAATAATGCTCAAAGTTCTCAACAGCGTGGGTTTCGCGTCAGATCCGCGCCAGTGCATCAGCAAAACGATTAAAAAAATAAGTGTGACGACCGCAAGCCAAAAGGTCAGAATAAATTTGTCTCGCCAACACGTGCCAAATCTTGGTCGATAAAGTCATTAACGCTATTCCCAGCAAGGGGCAGACCATGCATAATTAATCGGTGGCCGCCGTCTTTTTTTTGGTACTACACCCGTACCAGACGTGCGCAAAGGTAAGAAAGGTGGCGTGTCAAAAGCGTCTCTAGTGTGCTTAAAAGTTTGCATTCCTTAGCTAAATAGGCATCTACAATAGCTAGATCTGTGGATGCAGAGGCAAGATTACTAGAAGCAACTGAAGTGCGTGATCGCCTGCAAACTCGATGCGGCAGCAAAAACGCAGATTGAACCAGATAGCTTCCACTAAGACCCGATCAGGGTGGCCAGCAAGCTCTACACTAACTGCATCAAAATTCATTGGTGTGGAGACTGAGTTTTAACTTAAAGAATTAGCAGATGTGGACATAGCGTTCTCGCGAACTAATGACGGCTGTACAGGCGTGTGATGAGGCTTTTCAGGCCGAAGCGCGGGTGGGACACTCCATTGCTTGGTGTATTCCCTTGCAGAACATGCACCTGAGCTGGTAGCTGCAATTTGAAAAGGTGCAGTTCCCTTTGTTTTAAAAACATTTTGCAGATCGGCTTTCCGCTGGGCCCAGAGGTGGAGGCACGAAAAGGCGCGTTCAGTGAAGGCTTCGCTACACATGCCACGGTGGAGTGGCCTGTCCTCTTACATTTAGCGCACACGGGCAGAGCTTGGCCGGTGAAGGACTGCGTGAAGAGTTCCATGTGTAGATTACCGATGCTGATGCTGTGGTCTCTTGACATCGCCTGTCGCAACCGAGTGTCGTATACTTGCACCGCAGCAAAACGATATTTTTTCGCCGCTTGTACTACCTTTAGCTGGCGCTCCATGAGACCAGCACATTCCCTGGTGCGACCTCGCTAGCAATGACCCTAAAGATCGACCAGGCTTCGATCCAGTCGGTGACCTTTTCAATTTTACGCCTGGGTGTCGACACGGTAGAAATTAGTACTGAAGCGTCAGCAGCGTTTTCGTCAACTCGGAAGCGTTTAGCGGGTGGCTCCATTCCTACACTGCGGCTTGGCCATAGTGTTGCCAGCTCTACATACTCAATGTTTATGATCTTTCTAATGGAATCCCCAGACACATGTGCTACACACGAGGGCATTCTTTTATCACCACTGGCTAATGTTCCATACCTTGGACTTCCGCCGCAGAGGTATCGGTCGCCTGACTGGGGCCCGCTAGCTGGTTCCACGCGGCCCAGACAGCGGAGGAAGCAGCCTCGCTGATGGCTCTCAGCTGTGCTGGGGACAGCTCCATTGCCGGCATGCCGACGACTGCCACAGAATATAATAATTGCTGCTACACTGTACTTTATATAATTTACTTTACGCTCTGAAACAAAACAAAATCACGCCCATCTGCTGCTGCTGCTAGCTGCCAATATTGATGCTGTCCCTGCGTTCGCCACCTCCAACTGCTGAGGTGCCTCGTGCTGTGGCACTACCACACCTTGGGCTTGGTCTGCGTTGATCCGGCCTCGTACTCTCGTACTCTGCTCATGCTGCCGTACTCTCGCGTTGTGGCCTCGTGGGTACGTCTTACGCTATTTGCGCTTGCCACGTGCTTATGTGGCCCGCCTTACCTGGTGGGCTCTCGCGCCTTATTTCCCATATAAGCATGGTGGTGTCTGTCATTGTGGGCCGGGCGGCATCCGGGGACTTCGCCTCTTCCATACGTGGTATGTTTGCTCCGCCACACCGCCTGTTCTATCTTGCGTACTCGGTTAGTACTGTACCTTGGCTGAGGCTTAGTACGCGCGCTGGAGTCCTTTCGTGCCATGAAAGGAACTGCTTCCTAATATAGAGATTAGGCGCCATGAGCTAGCCCTGCTTGTAGTAAACATTGCATTAGTAGCGCTGATACCTTTATGCAAATATGGGGTAGTCTCGCCCGCGCATATGGGCGTACTCGTACTGCGGCCTGGGCTTTCCCCAGTACGGCTGCCCGCCATTGCATGCCAGACACCCCCATTGTTGCGCGCCTAGCCACGCGCGTGGCTTTTGCCTGCTGCTCGGTTGTCAGCGATAACTACGGTTTGCCGTACGCTGCAAACCTACATTAAACTGCAGGCTACTGCTGCTAGAGCATACTTAAATAGTAAACTCAAGCGTCGGCCTGACTGGACGACTTCCAAAGAAGACCTCAATGTTCTGTCCTCTTGGGAATCTTTAGCTTGGCGACGGCAGATTCTTGGCCTTGTCTATTTCCACCATGTATTCTCCCAATACCCCTCCTTGTTGTCTCACTTCCAGCTACCCTCTTCCCAAAGAAGTCGTCACCCTTCATCCATAATTCTTCATAAAGCTGGCACCTTCTTTCGTAAATCAACCCTTTTTTCTTTGAGTGTTGCCTGGAATAAACTTCCTGAAGATATTCGTTCACTCTCTACAACAGCAAAATTTAGTATTGCTGTTCGTCGGTATCATTCGCAATCAATGTTTTCTTTGAAAGGTATTCCTGACTTTTGTGTCTAGGCTAACCACATCTATGATAGTTTCAATAGTTTGTGTATATGTCAGTTATAGTAGTCCGCAATGCTGCTTTTCTAATTCTCATTATGATTAGCATGCAATGTACTACCCGAAGTACTGAATTTACTTCTTCTGTACTCTATATTCTAATGTATCTTCTACCTCTTCTCCCTTACGAACATACTTTCTCATTTTCCATACTTACTTAGGAGACTCCCTTCGATAGGCATCTATTTGCCTCTGGAGGATCCGTGAAATAAAAACCAATCAATCAATCAATCAATCAAATCAAGTCAGCGGAAAAGCGCGAGCTCCAGTGTGGGAACACCTACATTTGAACAAGTTGCATTTTGCATGCTGATGTCTGCAGCCTTCGTTCCATTCGTTATATTCATAGCTTTAATAAAATATAAGTACTTCCGAAGCATGAACAAACATACAATCTTGCAAAGCAGCATTTCAACATTCCCATTCAATAGTCAATATACCTGTTTAGTCTCGGTCTTCTCACGTCGGTTGTACTGCTCCCCTTCCTCTGTTATTTACCATGGTACATGTATTGGTGCACCACCACACTTCTTATACTTTCTTTCTACGCCATGGCTGGCAAACGCCCCCCCCCCCCCCCTCCTCATCTATATTGGCACGGAGTCATCTTTAGCCACTGGAAGGTGTAATAATAATAATAATATTTAGCATGAAATGCTACTAAAATTAATAGGTAAGGACTCTGCCACCTATATCCCTGGAATAAGCCCGATCAGAGTGGCACTGCATGTATGTTGTTATTGTTGTACCATGCGCCGGGCCCAGTACACGTCACTTTGCCCTTGGTCTTTTCCTTGTATCTGCCCGACATCAGGCGCGTAGCTCGGATATAGTCAGCGTAGTCCCGTCACCACACCTGCAAATGGCTGGCATGGGTACTGCATGGTGAAAATAGGTACAAATGGCTGGCATGGGTACTGCACGGTGAAAATAGGTACAAATGGCTGGCATGGGTACTGCATGGTGAAAATAGGTACAAATGGCTGGCATGGGTACTGCACGGTGAAAATAGGTACAAATGGCTGGCATGGGTACTGCACGGTGAAAATAGGTACAAATGGCTGGCATGGGTACTGCATGGTGAAAATAGGTACAAATGGCTGGCATGGGTACTGCACGGTGAAAATAGGTACAAATGGCTGGCATGGGTACTGCACGGTGAAAATAGGTACAAATGGCTGGCATGGGTACTGCACGGTGAAAATAGGTACAAATGGCTGGCATGGGTACTGCACGGTGAAAATAGGTACAAATGGCTGGCATGGGTACTGCACGGTGAAAATAGGTACAAATGGCTGGCATGGATACTGCAAGGTGAAAATAGGTACAAATGGCTGGCATGGGTAGTGCACGGTGAAAATAGGTACAAATGGCTGGCATGGGTACTGCATGGTGAAAATAGGTACAAATGGCTGGCATGGGTACTGCATGGTGAAAATAGGTACAAATGGCTGGCATGGGTACTGCACAGTGAAAATAGGTACAAATGGCTGGCATGGGTACTGCACGGTGAAAATAGGTACAAATGGCTGGCATGGGTACTGCATGGTGAAAATAGGTACAAATGGCTGGCATGGGTACTGCATGGTGAAAATAGGTACAAATGGCTGGCATGGGTACTGCACGGTGAAAATAGGTACAAATGGCTGGCATGGGTACTGCATGGTGAAAATAGGTACAAATGGCTGGCATGGGTACTGCATGGTGAAAATAGGTACAAATGGCTGGCATGGGTACTGCACGGTGAAAATAGGTACAAATGGCTGGCATGGGTACTGCACCGTGAAAATAGGTACAAATGGCGACTATGAGTCACATGATCACTACACCACAGTCATGCTCTAGACTCTAGTACAGAGTCATCACAACACAGGTGTGCGAGCTACATGCCTGCACGTCGTGTCGTATCAACCCGCGCCTCCCCCCCCCCCCCCCAAGTATCCCAGAGACATGGCACTGGTACTGAAGTAGTCATGGTAACGGTAATATAATATGGATGACAATGGAATCCACTACCCATATGGACTTACAAATCTTCAGGTCTTGGAGAAGGAGGAGGTGATTCTTTACATGGCTCGGGAACGGGATCATACAGGTGGAATGCACAGTGAAGAAAATCACTCTCCTGCAACAAAACCAAAATAGTGAAGTGATCAGTAGCGCACATGAATAAAATAACCTGACAGTCACTATCATCAACAGTAGAGGCCACATCATCAGGGTGATGAAGCTAACACCAATGGTAGCAACACCAGAAACAGTAACAGCAGCAACAACAGCAACAACAAGACACAACGACAACGACAACGAAAGACAACAACGATAACAGCGGCAGAATCAGCATCAGCAGCACCAGGACCAGCAACAACAACAACAACAACAACAACAACAACAACAACAACAACAACAACAACAACAACAACAACAACAACAACAACAACAACAACAACAACAACAACAACAACAACAACAACAACAACAGCAGCAGCAGCAGCAGCAACATCGATGACAACGACGGCAGCAGCAGCAACGGAAAAGTGGCAGGAGAAGCAGCATCAGCAATAGTAGAAATACATCAGGGGCAGTCAATAGTACTGCAGGGAAAGGCAAGAGAATTTGAGACTGCGGAGAACGGCAGACTGTGCTCAGTCAATGACGTATCATGCACTCACTTGATAGTATATCACTTTTAAGTGGTATACTATCGTGTGAGTGCATTAAAAATATTGTCAATATTTGACGATTGAAGTGCCTGGGAAGGAGCGGGGAGTCCAGCTTTCCAATACAGCAATCGACAATGAGTACGATATTGCTTGCCAGAGATATTGTGGCTGATATAATTACTAAACACTTTGAGCACATGTGCGACATAAAAAAAAAGATTAGAGGTGAAACGAGTATCATGACCCGGATCGGACTCGTCGTGAAAGCGACCATGCATTGAGTTCAGCAACCAAAAGCTGGGCTCCGAAATATTCTAGAGTTCTGTAAGAACCATGATAAGTCCTGCGAAAAATTTGGCACTTTCGTTAGTTGAGCAATCGTGGCTTACAACTCGTGGCCTAGAGCCGCAAAGTGTGGTTGTACGTCGGCCACACCTTCAGTACAAGTCGTCAGCATTGCACTCACTACATTGTTGAGCTTGAGGGGGCCACGCTTAGTCCTGCAAGGGAGCTGATACCCTTGTTAGTTGAGCAAGAGTGGTGCCTCTTCTTGCGTCGTACACCATAAATGGTCTGCAGTGCTTCGTGTACTGTGGACTCCGTACCCTTTTGGAGGGAACACGGCATTGCCGCCTGCAGCTATGTTTGGGGGAAGAGCCCACTGGGTGAACCTTTTTTTTATTTTTATTTATTTTTTATTGGGAACACAGCCCTACAAAGAGACATGTGGAGACAAACACAAGACAAGACACCCAGCACCTACAAGAAGGACGCAGCTACGCTTCCCGCCTGCTGCAATGCATCCCAGCCTACCGGATCGCGGACCAAGATCATGCCACTGAGCATTTGGAGATCAGCAATATTCATATTTGGGTGAGCGGGCTCCCCGTATTGATCTTTGTACTATCTTCTAGTTTGGCTGATTGCACCACTGGTTGAACTGTAGCAACAACAATAATTACGCATTCTTGCCGCTGTATACTTTTGATCACATAATGTAGCATATAAGGAGCTGTTTTGCTGGAATTCATCCTCGACTCTCGGGGAGCTCACTACTCCCTCGATTCACTCTCGATTCTGAGAGTCACTCCGACTCTCTCCTGCTTTGGGTCGTTGACTCTTCATGCTTGATCTTTCGATCTAGCATTGCAATGGCTCAATAAACACTGTTCAAGTGGAATTAGAAACCTGTTGTTCTGTGTGAGCTAGCTAACTTGGATGGCGGCTACATTGGTCGTCTACCTGGGTAGCCACTAGACTGATCAACGCCAGGTCACAAACCTGCCAACACGTGGCTGAGACACGAGTATATCGGGCAGATGGGTACTCGCTCGCTTGCTTGAAGCTCGGTAGCTTAGTGAGCACTCGATAGACTGTATTGTTAATTAAAGTGTCCCTGCTTTGTGTGAACAGTACTGAACTGCTAATCACTGATAGCCGCGCATGTACCATGCGTACATCCAATCATGGCGCATTTACACACTCGACAGCTTACAAAATGATTCACATGGCCAGCAATCGAGGACATCTGAGAGTTGTAATTTTTGTACTCCTCCGAGGTGTGATTTTTGGCGTGCTGGGCCAAGCACAAGGAAGCCATCTGCAAAAAAAACTGCAGAAAATGGTTGTTGTTTGATCCTTTGGTGTAATCTTTGTTTCTAGTCGAAGCTAGTTGCTGTTTGGAGCAGAAACGCTGAAATTGACTATTTTCTGCATGTACTCATACATGTACTCATGTACTCAGGCATGCAGTCTCACTCGTATTTTAGCTCTTTTTCTGGAATGGATGCTGCTCTGCGCCCCTTGGTGAACATTTCCTGCGCTCGTGGAGCAGCTGAAAAGGACCACTGGTATGTCTGGTTCCTGGTTTGAAAGTGGAGAGTCTACTTTTGTGCCTTGAAAAAGGAGTAGAGAGCGATAGAGGTACGTCTGTTGCTTATTTTTGAGTGCTCCTCGTACATTTTTGATCGTGATAGAAATTCTCAGACCAAAGTCAGACCAAAGTCAGCGCGATGATGGTCGTACAGTTTTCTTGTGGATTTTTTAGTTGTTTCATCTCGTATCTATGTCAGTATCGTGATGGTGAAGTGGAGAGGGTGATTTTCTTCCTCTAGGCTTCGTTCGGCCGACTTTGCTTCGTCCTCGTTGAAAAGTGATCCTGGAAAAAAGGTCGATTCGAAAAATTATGTTGATTTTCAATGTACGTGATGACATGCGATTGCTGGCTATGCTCTAACCTCTAAAATAAAGAATGTGAGCAGAAAATAATCAGAGACATCCACGATCAGGGAGAGTAAAATGGCTGTAGAAGAGAGAATTTGCTCATCTATCCAGACCTGTGCTGGTGTTGGATATGTGATCATGTGACCTCTGTGCAACATGGCATCATCTTGATCATGTGACCTCTATGTAACATGGCATCATCTTGCTACTCTCTTGCTCTGAGAGCTTTCCAGGTAGCCCAAGGTTATGGAAATCGGTTCATCCAGACTAGACCAAAATGACAATGTCCAAAAAAAAAGTATGCACCTTTGACGTGTAGTTATATATACAGTCAGACATGCTCGCTTAACCGCTCACATCCGTTTTCCACAAAACAATATCCGGATAGGCGAGGGAACTGGATAATCGAACAAGCATACTATGCAACCATGTATGTAACCAATGATTTTCTTCCAGATGGCGAGGGATCCGGATAAAAGAGGACTGGATAAGCGAGGTCTGACTGTAAAAAGTAAAGGCATGTGATAAGCCAGTCAGCTCCTCCCTCCCCCCCCCCCCCCAACTCTCCCTCCCCCTCTCGCCCCGCTCCCCCCCCCCCCTCCCCACGCTCCCTCCCCCTCTCGCCCCGCTCTCCCTCCCCCCCCCCTCTCTCCCTCCCCCCCCCTCTCTCCCTCCCCCCCCCCCCTCTCTCCCTCCCCCCCCCCCTCTCTCCCTCCCCCCTCTCCCCCCCCCCAGACTGGAAATGTATGGCAAATTATCACTCACAGATTGAGTTAGACACCGAAAGTAGTCTTCAGGATTGATCGTCGTCATCCACCATTGTTTCCAAGAGCGAAACTTGCTTTCAGTCTTTGCATCCATTGATGTCACCGTTGTACTACTGTCCTGGTTAGCATCGGACTACACACACACACACACACACACACACACACACACACACACACACACACACACACACACACACACACGCACACGCACACGCACACGCACACGCACACGCACACGCACACGCACACACACACACATACGCACACACGAACGCACGCACACACACACACACACACACACACACACACACACTGTACAGTACTGTACTTGCTCACTGCCATGACTGGTCACGCAAGACGGTCTCCCCCGAAGAGAGAGATACAAAACGAATCTTGGAAAAATGACTCAATTGGCTATTGAGCCGTCCGACGGCCGACACCCCCTGAAATCCCAAAACTCTGGCGGGACTTGGAAATGATCCGGTTTATAGGCTCACTACACCTCAGTAAGTGGGCGAGGATAAAGTGAAGAAAATGGAATGACGGCATCAAGGTATCCGTCCTGGGATCCCACTGCATTCACCTCTGCCCCCCCCCCCCCCCCCCCCAGTGAAGCTAATACTTTCTACTAGTGCAGGTGGCTAAATCAGAGTAGGTCAGATAAAGGCTCCACTACTACCATTGATTACACAAGAGTTACTCTAGCCAGAAGTAGTCCACAAGAGTTACTCTAGCCAGAAGTAGTCCACAAGAGTTACTCTAGCCAGAAGTAGTCCACAAGAGTTACTCTAGCCAGAAGTAGTCCACAAGAGTTACTCTAGCCAGAAGTAGTCCACAAGAGTTACTCTAGCCAGAAGTAGTCCACAAGAGTTACTCTAGCCAGAAGTAGTCCACAAGAGTTACTCTAGCCAGAAGTAGTCCACAAGAGTTACTCTAGCCAGAAGTAGTCCACAAGAGTTACTCTAGCCAGAAGTAGTCCACAAGAGTTACTCTAGCCAGAAGTAGTCCACAAGAGTTACTCTAGCCAGAAGTAGTACACAAGAGTTACTCTAGCCAGAAGTAGTCCAATAGTCAACAGGTATGTGTACTCAAGACCGTCACAGCCGGGGCGGCTGGGGCGGCTGGGGGGGGGGGGGGAGGAGGGGGAGGCTGCCCCACTTTTGCGGCCGATTTTTTGGTGCACGCTGCAACAAAGCGCGGTAATCGCATGCACAAATGTGGCAAATAATGAAGAAACCTTGTCCCCGATCGTAGCGTCTTCTTGGTTTGTTGCAGAATCAAAATGTCTTTCATGCACTGAAATGACACCAAATGCCCTGAAATGCTTGCAATTGGCTTGAACTTTTAATTTTTTTCCCAGGGGACAACCCCGCACCCCCCCCCCCCCATCCTTCCATGGCTGCCCCACCTCCAAAGTTGGTGCGACGGGCCTGGTCATGTGGGCCCCTTTGGATCAACACTGCAGTAAGTGGATGAGAATACTGTGCAGGAAAAAAATATGGCTTCAAGTTCTGCATCCAGGGATCCAACTGCAGTTATCTCTGCTCTACGCAACCTGCTCATCACACACATTGTGCTACAACACTTTGCATACTAGCATACTAGCATGAGTACATTGCCACATAACTACAATAGTAACAAGTCGTTGCAAGCATTACTATCAGACTGAATACCCTTAGAACATGCAAGCATTGATATCAGACTGAATACCCTTAACATGCAAGCATTGATATCAGACTGAATACCTTTAACATGCCGCAATGGAAGCCTCCATGTCGTCCAAAACTGAAAGGCAAGCAGACCAAAATACACAGCATTTGAAGAAAGTGTCTTTGCTTGGCCGCATGGAGCTTTAATTACGTAGCTCGATGTACCAATGTAGTGTGTGCTCAGTGCAACACTCAATATCACTCACCTTGCCGTTGATATCTTTTTAGCCATGTATTGCTTGGAATAAAATAAAATAAATAACACCTTAGTGGTGGACATCACGCAAATGCATTGTAAATAAAAGTGGGTTTGTCAACTGACAACCGCTCCATTTAGTTGTTATTCACTCTTGGCGCATGCACAGGATGACGATGGGTGACTGGCACGAAACCTCATAATTTTTCGACATCACTAATAAAAGAATTTTTCATCCAGCGCATGCGCCAAGAGTGAATAGCAACTGAATAAAGTGGTTGTCAGTTGACAAACCCCCTTTTCTTTATCTCTATTCTTAACACCGTATCTCTACTATGCACCCCCCCCCCCCCCATATCCCCATCACTAGCAGTAAAAAAGGTGATTTGGGGTGAAAATGGGTATTTATGGCTTTGTACAGTCCGCTCAATGAGTGGTGATCTGTAGGCTATATTTGGAGCTGCGGGCAACCTTCAAGATCCCGCAGAGAATGGGTCAAGAGCAGTATTGCAAACTAGAACTGTGACACAGTTGGCTTTGACAGAGTGGGTTCAACTTGCATGCACGACATACCTATTAATGTGCAGGAAGGCACACAATAGTCGAGGATAGTCAACCATTGTTGCCTGCATATGCTGCTATTAACTAGACTACTCTAGAATATCTGCCATATGCAGGCTTGCTGTTGGTTGCAGACTTGCCAGACAGAAAGAAGCCAAGCAACTGAGGATTTACATTACTTAAAAGACTATACTCTAACTGCAACTCTAACTGCAAGAGTGTGCATCTGCCTGTACTACCTCCATCCTGCACTGTGATGGCAGAATTTCACATCACATGACCACGTTTTGGTGGCAAGCAGTGGAAAGCGACCAGTACAGAGTTGTACCCAAAGCAGGGTTGCTTCAGCGTACCTATCATGCATAGGGTACAAATAGACCCCATTGACCCCATCGACTGGAATTGCACACTCTTTGGGGTTATATAATCTTCGTGACAGGCAAGAACTTGTGATGTGCAAAACTTTAATATATGCATACTTCTGGTTCTCCTATGCATAGTAGCTTGTACGTATCTAAAAACCTGGCAATGTATGCCAACCCAGAAGTAAAATTGGAAATTACATCTCTTCTTGATATAGACTGACCTACAAGTAAACACATCACGGATCAACTTATTCCGTTGCTACAGAGTTTACACCCCTGTCACCACAGCGCAACAGGCAGCAATATACCGGCACATGAGGGCAAATTCAGTCGACCATGGTTGTTCTTCTATAGCTAATTCAGTCAACCATGGCTGGTTGTCTATGGCTATGAGAACTAACGCAGAGTAAGGATCATACCCTCAGTGCAGTATCCCCCCCCCCCCCCCCCCGTACTGGCAGTAGAGTAGCTATTAGAACCATGCTGCGGGGAGTAATGACCTTCTTACTTTCCAAGCCATTCACTGTAGTCATGGCCCTGCCATGGAGGCTGAGAAGCTTGACATATCTTACTACTCTCTCGCAATGGACAGTGCAGATCCTGGATGAAAGCTGAGCTCATTAGGTTCGGCAGAGGTTCATTCAGTTGAGAAGGAGCAGGATGAGTTGGAACATCCTAGCAAAGCACATATTGTCACAGACACGCATATATGCATGCATACATACACGCACGCACGCACACACACACACTAGCTGGTTGCTTTCGGGTTGCTGAAAAACGGAGGATGGTGGAGGAAATATCCGAGGGGAAGCTAGACCACTGCGGATGGAGGACGGAGGGCACGCCAGTGATACTCTAATTTCAGAAATGTTTGGTGCTGAATATTTTCGGTATAAGGGCAACAGGCTAGGTTAGGTGAACAGAAATTTTCGGTACAGAGAAGCAGTTCCCTATTGGATTATGTGTGATAGTGTTTGTTCGGTGTATTGAAATTTTCGGTATGAAACAGACGCACCGAAAGTACCGAAAATAAAAGTACACCGAAAATTTGTGAAATTACAGTAATATCAAAATTTAAATGGTCCTGGAAGACGTACCGTGAGCTTCTCCGACCTGTATTTCTATCCGGACGCCAGGGGCTCTCCTAGCAAGGCTAGGAGAGCCCTGGGGAACAAAAAACTACCTTAGGGAGAGCTCCAAATAAGTATGAAACGGGAACTGGACAGAGCTTCAAAAAAAATAAAACACACACACACACTGTACTTGTACTTGTTGCTCACTGCCAAAACTGGTCACGTGAGTCTCCCCGGGAGAGGGGAGAGAGACTCAAAAGGAATCTTGGAAAGATGACTCAATTGGTTATTGAACCGCCCAACGGCCGACACCCCCTGAAATCCCTAAAACTCTGGGTGGACTTGAAAATGATCCCACTTATGGGCTCACCACACCTCAGTAAGTGGGTGAGGACAAGGTGCAGAAAAAGGATTGACGGCATCAGGGTATCCGTCCCGGGATCCAACTGCAGTTACCCCTGCCCCCAGTGAAGGTAATACTTGCTACAGGTCAGACCTCGCTATAACGTAATCTCTGGGGGATGGGAGAAATTATGTAATAGCGAGGTTTATGTTATAGTGAGTTGGGCACACCAATATGCAATATGTATGTCAAAATGACGCTCTTCACTTACTGATTACAACTGTACTGTTTTACATACAGGTATGATGATGACTAGCAAAGATATACAAGCTTGTCAGCAAAGGGTTACAAGAGTCATGCAGTGCGTGTACGTGTACATGTGACAAGATTAGAGCCTATAAAAAAGTAATGGGAGTAGTAAAATACCGGTATTTTACTACTCCCTGCTTCCGAGGTGGACGGCTCAGTCTCGAATTCGTCGCGAGAAGGCATGCATGCCGTGTACATAGTCATTTTTGTACGACTTTTTACGTTATGCTGAGGTCTCCGTGCGCCCGGGTCCCAGCAAACAGTGCGTTATAGCGAACATTACGCTATAGCGGATTATGTTATAGCGAGGAAATTTTGTACAGAAGTGATGCGGTTTCGGCAGGGACATTCACATTTGTACGTTATACTGAGGTTTATGTTATAGCGGGGGTCGTTATAGCGAGGTCTGACCTGTACTAGTATGAGTGGCTAAATCAGAGTGGATCTGATAAAAGCTTAACTAGCACCATTGATTACACAAGAGTTAATCTAGCCAGAAGCAGTCCATGATTAACATGTATGTATACTTCAAATAGAAAGTATATGAACCCTGGAACCAACAAAGGTGGCAGGTACAACATTACACCTTCAAGCAGCTGAGCCTGTTGGCAACAGACCCAACACAATCAGGCATACGTGTACCTACCAACCGAACTAGCTGGCACACACACGCACGCACGCACGCACGCACGCACGCACACACACACACACACACACACACATTGGTATCCCTTATTATCACTCTCTTATTATTGACCCCCACAGAAACTTGTGATCTCTAAGCGGTCAAATATCAGCATATATTGACCGCTTATATTGACCACTTATTATTGACTACTTAGTCCGAGGACTTAGAACTTTTTCCTCAACTTAGAAAAAAATCAGAACTGAAAGAAGAAAAATCTGAAGCCAAATGCTGGGATTTGAACCCAAACTGTCAGATTCTCAGTCAAAGAACTTGGGGAACATACTACAAGAGACAACTGAAGACTTCGGTTTACACAGAAGTAATGTCCAATGTAAACGGCATATGTACATACTATTATACTATTACAATAGTATTCCTTTCTTCCTATAGCAAAGCAAAACCAGTTTTAGGTATGCTATGTCGTGATAAATCTATTATTGCCCTCATAATCGGTCAATATATGAAATATAGACCTCGTAAAAGACCTCGGGGGACCTCGGTCTTTTACTCGTTCTATATTTCATATATTGACCTCTTTAATCGTGCAATAATAGATACATAAACGTTTTTTCGCCTAAGCCATGCATTCTTCAGGTGGGACTGACGTTCTGTTGGCTCTGAACATTGGTCAGAAACCGTGATTTTCAGTATGGGAATGGCAATCTATATGCAATTGGTAGCCAAGACGGTCGGTCCACTGAGCTGGGCCTGCCCACTGGCACAACCACCTTCTGCCTTGCCCTTACTTTAGTCCTCTCTGCTCTTCTCTCCCTCCTTTCCATTATAATGTCATTGGATATGATAGTGTTTGAGGTAGAAATGAAATACAGAAAGTAATACACAGAGTTTACTTACTAATAGGAGAAAAAAGGGCTACAGTTTTCAATACTCAGTATGTACCCAAATGATCTTTTCCTGCAGTTTGTTGTGTATGGACAGAGATATTCATAATGTAAAAGAGAAAAGGACATATGGATACGAGTTTAGAGTAACTCTCCATCACTGTAACATGATACTATATACAGTCAGAAAGTGCAATAACTAGGCACAAAACTGACAGAGTACTGAGACATTCGACGTCCTGACACCTAACTTTAACACATCTCCGTAGCGCTAACCAACAGCCTTCCAACTTGGAAAACTAAACTCGTATCCATATGTCCTTTTCTCTTTTACATTTATTTATGGCTCAACATCCGAGTTTCAAATATTCATAATGATTTTTTGTTTTGTTGTTTGTATTCTTTTTTTAGAGTGGGAAGTCCAAAACAGGCCCGAGCCTAATAACAATGGTCCCACATTTTTACTTCTAGGTAGTAGGCACGAGACAGTTTGTGGAATGTCATCAAGGGGGCAGGTGTTGTGAGATGATTGTGTTGTTTTCCTGTGTGATGGCATTCCAAAAACTGTCTCGTCTAGTCGCGTGCATGTGTGATATGAGCATGCGCGATTTTGTAGTCGAGAGTCCTTTTGTCAGTCTTCTTGTTCGTCCTTTGAGTGTTGTCTTCATTTCCGTAATGTCAACATAAATAATATAAAACAAACAAGTCTTGTCCCTTGTGTCCTGCGTCCCGGGGAACGGAATGGCTGAGATTCCGTTACAACGTGGTGCCGAAACCCGGGACGCAGAGGATGAGTAAGTGTTTCATGAGTCTGTTCGTCGTCGTCAACAACAAAGTAGAACTATAAAGTATGCGTGGGAATGGAGGAGGTCAGGAGAGGAGCTGGTGGGAACGCAAGACGGTGGAAGAGGAGGCAGAGCAGGTGGTTGGACCGGCAGAAGCTGGGGACTGGAGCCTGGGACGGCAGGTACCGCATGGAGCGTGTGGCCGTGGCTCGCCAGCCAGTGGATGAGTCTGGCATAACCGACTGTGTGTCGTCCTTTGTTGTTCGTCTTGTTGTTGTCTTGCTCGCTGTGTTGTCTGATCGTGTTTCTCTCGCTGTTCAGTTCGTTGCTGTGTTGTTGAGTTTGGTTGTCGGTATGTTGCTCTTCTCGTCGTTCTGTTGTTCTGCATTAATTTGCGTTGTAGATTTATTTTGCGCTGCTGCGCGCATGTTGTTATTTGTTGGAGCTTTGGCTCTCGTGTTTCGGTTGGCCTTGTGTGCCTGAGTTTAGAGCGTCGCCTCTTGTGTTTCTTGGTTTGGCCCTGTGTCGTGGCCCAGTTTTGTTGTGCTGCAAGTACAATGTAAGCTTTTGGTTGGTTTTGGTTTTTCTGTTTTGCTGTGGTTCCTTTTGCTGTTGTGCATGTGGAACGTGGTGTCGGTTTATTATTTTGTGAAATTGTCTCCGAGGGCCAGCTACTACACAGATAGTATTGATCTAATATTTTAAGGATTCCCCAAAGGCTAAAAGCCTATCCGGGGGGTCTCAGATGAGAAATCAACGAGAGTCAGCACACGGTTACATGCAAATACATAAGCGTAACATACCACATCAAATGTGTTGTGCCGGTCTGGAATAACCTTCTCTAGCTCTGTGAAAACCAAATCCAGGTTTCGCTCCTCATCTGTGCTTTTATCAAGCTGTTTACTGATCTCATTGCTTATCTGTTAGGGCAAGCACAGTGCACAGCAAGAACTGAAACATGGTGCTTCAGCTGATTAGGAGACAAAGCACAATGCATAGACTTGAAGCAAATCAGAAACACTAAGAGAATGGATCACCAGCCAGGTAAAATGATAGACATGCACATGTTCAACGTTTCATGCCATGCAGTATGCTACAGTACATGACCTGCACTTACACATGCAGTATGCAGTATGCTACAGTACATGACCTGCACTTACATTGTGAATGAGAGGGTTATACATGATGTGCTGCTGAGTAAAGACTTCACCAGGAAGGAGGTCACGATCTTCTACTCGCATCCACGCTAAATGAACTGGATCCAATCCATGCTTCAGAAACAACACCGAGAGCAGACATATACATCGATATGATCTTCCCTGCCGACTACAAATGAAACAACCGTAGTCTTGGGCCAAATGTCACTCCTTCCCATCCTGCATCATACAGGCAAACAATGACTGTTGTTCAAACTGAACCTCACAAAGACACAAGACTAAGTTATCCACAACAATTGAAGAAGAACAGAAAGACAACAAAAAATTCAACAAAAGAACATGCACATGAACATGTAATGATTTCTGCCAGTTCGCTAGCTATACAGGTTGTGTGATTACATCCGATCAGGCGACATACTTTGGCAAAGTCGTGGCACAGCAATGTACTAGCAATGCACTAGCGCCGACTCACTCGGTATACATACAAGTAGCGGCCATAGCCTGCAGTCCCACTGACTCACCACCATGGCATCACCATGACATCACCATGACATCACCATGACATCACCATGACATCACCATGGCATCACCATGACATCACCATGGCATCACCATGACATCATCATGGCATCACCATAGCATCACCATGGCATCACCATGGCATCACCATGGCATCACCATGGCATCACCATGGCATCACCATGGCATCACCATGGCATCACCATGACATCACCATGGCATCACCATGGCATCACCATGGCATCACCATGACATCACCATGACATCACCATGGCATCACCATGGCATCACCATGGCATCATTAGCATAACCTCTATAATTCATTGCCAGCGTCTGCACATGGATTAGAATGTTTCTGTTTGGCACACAGATACTGTAAAATCCCGCCAGATCGTCCCGTCTCTCCTATGCGCCCCTCCCTGACTTCTTGCCGGGGTACTAGTGATCATCGTCTGTGAAGTGCGATGCCTTACTGCACTGCAGACAGGTGCTCAACCCGGTTGCAAATGTACGCAACGGTTCACACCCTCTTGATCTTTGGTCGGTGTACGAGATGCACATACAGTTGATACAATCTGTTCAAGGAAATGATAATAAATAGATAGTTGGAAGCTGCTGGTAAGGATCGTGCTAGTCCTGCCTGAAAGGAAACTTCTCCATGCGGCCTGCTGAATGCATCATGTACACAGCTTTCGTGCGCTGCACATAATTACCCGAGCACAAACTGCTTCAACTCGGTCATAGGGTGAATACTTATTCATGTAGTACTGAATGCGGCAAGTACGACATCCGCCCCTCCCCATCTGGACCTATTGGAAGCGTCGCAGAGGTAGGGGCGGAGGTAGGGGCGGAGGTAGGGGCGAAGGTAGGGGCGGAGGTATGGGCGCTTTGGAGGGATTAAACGGCACTGTACTTCTTTTGAAGTAACGTTACTTTAACATAAACAGAGAAGTTGTCACCTTTGGTGACTTAGACAACCATAAGAACAGTGGCTACAGAATGCAGAGAGGCAATGATAAAGAGCAGAAAATGTGAATGCACTTGTCCACAGTCACAGAGCACCCATCAATCTTTTCAAGCTTTTTTGTTTTGTTTCTGTTGTCTCTGATGACAGCCACAGGAAAACGTCTGGATCAGATTGATTGTTGCTCTGTTACTGCGGGTGAGTGCTTTCAAATGGCCACAGGCTAATAGTTCTTCATTGCACTTACATACTCAGCAAGCTTCAGCTGCACAGTATCCACATCATGGAGAGCACACGGTGTGTATGCTCCGCTTTCAAGTAGACTGTGCTGCTGGTCATGGTTACTGTTAAACTTCCATTCACGGTGGGGGCTATGCAGCTCACGGTGGGGGCTATGCAGCTCACGGTGGGGGCTATGCAGCTCACGGTGCCGGGGGCTATGCAGCTCGCCATCACTACTCGACTTCCCCTTGGATTCATCCTGCATCATCTGTGATCGATAGGATTGCTCAGAACAATACTCTTTGTTAGAGTGGCGAGTGGCTGAAGGAGCATCAGTGTGGCAAGCTGCTGCTGCATGTGCTGCTGCACTGTCTGCAGTGCGAGAAGTTGGTTGCCGCTGCGTCTGCTGCTGCTGCTGTTCAAGGCAGTCATCTACGTGTAGTTGACTTCGTTGATCATTTCCAGCATTGCCAATAGATGGATGGGGTAATTGACTACTGCCCTCATGGAAGTGAAAGTCGTCATTGTCTGTCTGGTTCGAGACTTCCGATGATGCCATGGTAATGCTGCTACCGGCCTGACAACTTCCCAATGTCACTTGCGAAATCTGCCCGGCTTGCTGAAAGGCAATATCGTCCGCCGTGTACATCACTTGACCACCTGCTGCTGCCATTGGAGAATCCCAATCAGTGCCCATATCAACAACATGGTCAGGATGGTGGTCAGGGTGATGGTCAGGGTGATGGTCAGGATGATGGACAGGGTGATGGACAGGGTGATGGTCAGGATGATGGTCAGGATGATGGTCAGGATGATGGTCAGGATGATGGTCAGGGTGATGAACTGGCCAACTTGATTGTTCTCCTTCACTGTATTCTTCAGGCCTATCTAACACAATCTGCTGATATTGTTGCTGTTGCTGCTGCTGCTGCTGCTGCTGCTGTTGTTGTTGATGATGATGATGATGTTGGTGGTGGTGGTGATTATGGTGCTGCGGCTGCTGCTCCTGCCACTGACTAGTCAAAGATGCACCAGCTGCAGTCATGGATGACAATGACCCAGCTTGACTATCATATGGGACTCTGTGATCAATGTCAGCAAATGATACATCTCCCATGTATACACCAGCAGTACTGGTTACTGCATCAGTGCTCATTGCTGTCATGGAGACACCTTGACGCTCTTCTTCGAACCCATCAGAGCTATGAGCAGGATAGTAAGCATATTCTGCAGTAGGGATAGTGTCCTGCTTACTACCTGAAGCCAAAAGAACATTGTATTCAGGCTTTTGCATCGTCAGTCTTGGCGAGCAAGCATCACCATGATCAACGCGAGAAAGTGATGGAGCTGCTAATGATGAGGCTGAAGGAACAGATGAGGAAAGGCAATGCGATGTGCTTGCTCTTGATCCAGATAGGTCTTCCACATTTGGACCAGGGTGACGTTGTTGATATGGGCTGTATGCAGGGTTTTCAAGTTTAGCACTGAAGCAATCGCTGGAGCCACCTAGACTATGATGAGTTGATATATTATACTGCTGATACTGCTGCTCTTGCTGCACTGACGTGGCTCTCAAGGAGGTGCGTACTGCCGGTGGCTTCTTTGGTAGATGCTTTCTCTCCCTAACAACAGCCTAGGAGACAACAGGGATCAATAGGAAGCACGGGAAAGTCACGATTAAGTAGAGCTATTGTTGCAAAGCCGCAAGTCAAAGGAATGTAAGCTGAGCTGCATGCATTATCACTTTAATAAGGAGCATTAGCCCCATCCCTCACACAAACAAGTCAACAAAGAGGCATCTTTGGATTGAGGAGTGCTGGTATCGAAACAACTGGTTTGAAGCTCAAAGTAGAGTTGGTGTTAGCTCAGAGCAGAACTGCTGTTAGCTCAAAGTAGAGCTGCGGTTAGCTCAAAGTAGAGCTGCAGTTAACTCAAAGTAGAGCTGCGATTAGCTCAAAGTAGAGCTGCTGTTAGCTCAAAGTAGAGCTGCTGTTAGCTCAAAGTAGAGCTGCTGTTAGCTCAAAGTAGAGCTGCTGTTAGCTCAAAGTAGAGCTGCTGTTAGCTCAAAGTAGAGCTGCTGTTAGCTCATGGTAGAGCTGCTGTTAGCTCAAAGTAGAGCTGCTGTTAGCTCAAAGTAGAGCTGCGGTTAGCTCAAAGTAGAGCTGCTGTTAGCTCAAAGTAGAGCTGCTGTTAGCTCAAAGTAGAGCTGCGGTTAGCTCAAAGTAGAGCTGCTGTTAGCTCAAAGTAGAGCTGCTGTTAGCTCAACGTAGAGCTGCAATGCTAAATGGATGTAATATAGCGCAAGGCAGAGCCGCAGCAAATAGCTAGATAACACCAGTTGTGAGAGTGGACCCGATTAGTGGGTACGATAATTATGATAGTGTGAATAAGTTGGATAGGGAGGGATGGTGGGAAAAGAAACACTGCTGAAGCACGATCCGTTGTCTGGAAGAGCACAACAGGGCAAGCAAGATTTGTTTTTCTTTTCCGCAAAATGGGCTGGTGCCATTTGTGATTACGCAGCAAAACAAAGCGCATGACGTCAGTCTTGAATGCAGTACAAAGCAATGCAGTGCAGTGTGTGCGCTAGTTCGGATTGTTGCTAACAAGTACTAGCACAGCTAGTACACCATAAAACATTGCAGCAGCCAGTTGACACGTTTGAACACAAAAGACTTTGCAAACAGAAGCTAGTGGACAAGTGCAACTTAAGCAGCTGAATGGTTCTGAATGGTTCCCAGAATAGTTCTGAATAGTTCTGAATTGTTCTGAATGGTTCTGAATGGTTCCCGGAATAGTTCTGAACGTTCTGAATGGTTCTGAGTGGTTCTGAATGGTTCTGAATGGTTCCCGGAATGGTTCTGAATTGTTCTGAATGGTTCTGAATGGTTCTGAATGTTTCTGAATGGTTCCCGGAATAGTTCTGAATGGTTCCCGGAATAGTTCTGAACGTTCTGAATGGTTCTGAATGGTTCCCGGAATAGTTCTGAATGGTTCTGTCGTCTTACAGACAGGAGTATTAAACTTCCAAAAAGTACTATTCCTTGCATGCACAAGATATGTGGTGAAAATAAGTACTCAAACTAAACCAATCCCACATTCCAGTTGCTATCAAACCAACGGACTCGTGTTCTACAATGGAGCTATTTCAAGGACGCCGTTCCCACCACCGCCCCGGCGCTCACCCGAGATTGCGGTGAACAGGTTGCATGTCAAAAGGCACTGAAAAGTACACGAAATGTGACAGGTTTGTGTCCACCAGCGCTTGGAGCGCGTCTGAAGCTTGTTCTTTTTCGCCCAAGCCATGGAAGGGCTTTGTTTGGACATTTCCTTGGCTCACCGCTGGCAGTGTGTGTGTGTGTGTGTGTGTGTGTGTGTGTGTGCGCGCGCGCACGCGCGCGTGTGTGTGTACGTGTGTGTGCGTGGGGGGGGGGGTGAGGTGTGTTAGGGGTGTGAGCATGCATGGTGTGGCTGCACACAGGAATGAGAAAGAGAGTAAAAAAGAATGTGACTTACATGCCAAAGTGGATGAGTGTCTGGACTGAGACTTCTGAGTTGAAGCTAGTCATTAGTTTTGGGAGAAGCCAGAACAAGCAGGAATGCAGGCATGCAGGCATGCACAAACACACGACGTATGTACCACCACACACAAACACACACACACACACACACACACACACAAATGCATACATACACAAACATGCACATAACACACACAAACACACACACTCACATTCACATACACATACATACCCCCCCCATACACACAGATACACACACATACACAAGCATGCACACACGCACATACACAAGCATGCACACACGAGCATGTACACACAGATACACACAATCCACAGCTCATAAAATAGAAGCCTATTAAGTGTATTGCGGTCGGGAGGATGGCACAAGGCATTTTTAAAACCTATAAACTAAAGGAAGTGTGTACAGCTTATCAAGAAACAGCCTGTACTGTACATTTTTATCCAGTGTACTATCTGTTCACTTGTGACAGGTTTGTCACAGTATTTCCAGCCATTCGTTAACTAGTCAATTCTACCATTATAAACCTAGCAGGCAATCTCATGACTTGCTAGACAAACGCCGCATGGTTCTTATTGAAATTGTAGTAACTGCTATGTTCTACCCGGATATTGGTGAAACATTCTTATTCAGATTGACGGAAGTGTTAACAGTAAGCGACACAAGGTGACTTGCGACACTTACTGAGGATGTTGACAATGAGTCGTCCACACTGGATGAACTGCAATTCCCACCAATGTGTAGACCGGAGTAGTAGTCATTCTCATCTGCAGCCACATCACTAAATCCACCGTTACCATCTGCTGATAAGAGACTATCCGTGCCAGTTGATAGCGTTGTCGGACAAAGAGTTTGCAGCCGCGACCTGAAAATGCATCAAACCAGTCAGAACTCCTATGGCCGCGGCATCAACACCATGACGAGCGAACACACATCCTCACCCGCACAGCTACCATCTGCAGCCCCATCTCTTTATCTGTCCGGCCTTGTTTGTGCCTTCTCTTGTCTTTCTCTTCGCATCTTAAGAATTCAGCTATAACCCTGACCTAACCCGCATTGAGGGCTGTGTGAGTGATTTTTTCACTCTCTTTGTATAGGATTGACTATACCTAAGCAAATTAACAGAAATTAGTCCGTATTTCATATATAGCACCACAAAGGTGTTCTCTGGAACTCACTTAGTACAGACCGGGGTAAGACATACACCTGCTTAGTACGGTCCTTTTTCGTTGCACAAATATTCCTCCCATAAGCGCATATACAAATGTGTACGGGTACGATGTACATGTACTCTGATAACACGTCCAACTCGTGTATGACGGACTTTTCAGCAGGTCCCGATCTTGCTGGCCTTTTTTTTCTTTTTACAGTATTATACTGTTTAGTGTTTTCGTACACCTGTACACACGAAGGTTTGCTTGACAGGTACTTTGATCTCTGGCTACGCATGATGGCATCAGTGAGTTAAATGGCCGCTTTAAAGGGTTAAAGACTGTTGCACACTCTTGGCAATGTCCTCTTGTTGATAATGGTGTGCATTGCTCATGGTACATACTTGATACAGTCTGGTCTGACATAGGCTTCACCAGCGCCGTTTACAGAGCTTGAAAGAGATGGTGTCAGGAGTCAACAAATAACAACTTCTGGGTCAAATTAGATCCACTCTGCCTATCATGAAGTACAGTATGTGGTAGGGAAGACCCTCGTGTCACATGCAGGTGTGATTATGTTTGTACCAGGAGTGGATCCCCGATCGCCGGGTAGGGCCCGTCCAGTCACTATCAGAGGCTGTATACCCCACTGTGAAGAAAGGCTGTATACCCCACTGTGAAGAAAGACCACCCAGGCGTGTACAGGTCCATAGAAACCTGAATCCAAGAGGATCCAAATATGGCAGTGTTGTCATGACTATGGTCTGACAGTGATGCAGCACTTTTAAGCATGCACACCCATGCATGCACACGGGAACATGAATTGCTGGAGAAGTGAAGAAGATGGCGAAAAAAGGGGAGAGACCCAAATGGACTATGCACAACAATAATTGTTGTCTTCACACTTTTGATTCTTATTTTAGGTGGGAAGGAGCAATGAACATGTCCAAAAGTCACTGCACATACAGTAGAACGCCGATTATCCGGGCGTCATCTATCCGGATGATTTATTATCCGGATCGCCTCGTCGTGCTGGAAAATAAAAATAGCAGCTTTTTCGAGGTTTTTGCTGATTTTCCCAACTCGGAGCATCATTCAAGCTGGGATGCACAAGATGCATTACAACAGGTTGGGGTCACAATGTATGACGATAGCATCATTTTTAGGAGCTGGAGTGCGCCTAGTTCCTGTTGTGCTGCCGAAGAGAATGAAGAGTGACGAAAACATGCGACAATATGCATGTTTTCAAGAGTCCAAAACCCCAAGAGTATGCAACTGGGGTCTGGCTGCTGTGGGCCCACTGCGTGGCGGAATTCCAACATTACGTCATGCCGCTGAGGCACAGGCACAGCTGTACAAAACTCCGCATTCCGCGGTGCTTGGAACCAGGGAGTAGTAAAAGTGCAACAAACGTGTACGTCATTTTTGACGTAATGTTGGAATTCCGCCGCGCGGATCTCCATGATTGTGCAGAGTTGCACACTCTTGGGGTTATGGACTCTTGAAGTTTTAGATAGATGTGTGATTGCTTCGTTATCCGAACATTCTTCTCATCCGAACCTCCTGGAGACAGCCTGCGCCCCGAGGGGTGCGGATAATCGGCACTCTACTGTACTGCACAACACAAAGAATGCAAGTGAAGCTGTAGATTGCTACCAGCAATTTTTACAACTCACTTTCGACTTCTGTTTCCGCCAGACATAAGATCATCACAGCTTTGTGCTCTCCTGATATTTCGTGAACCATCACCTGGACACCACACATGTACACAAAGTTAATACCGGTAGTTTTATGGAATGCGAAATGTCATGCCCTGGCAACCTCTATGTTCGACATTGACATGCGGCACTATGGCCATCCCTACCGTTATATTGAAACTGCATGTCCTGGCAGGTGGAAACAGCCACTGACTATGTTGAGAGAGAAGGAGAGAAAGACGACAAGAGAGAGAGAGAGAGAGAGAAGAGAGAGAGAGAGAGAGAGAGAGAGAGAGAGAGAGAGAGAGAGAGAGAGAGAGAGGGGAGAGAGAGAGAGAGAGAGAGAGAGAGAGAGAGAGAGAAAGAGAGAGAAAGAGAGAGAGAAAGAGAGAGGCAACAAGAGAGAGAGAGAGCGAGAGAGAGAGAGAGAGAGAGAGAGAGAGAGAGAGAGAGAGAGAGAGAGAGAGAGAGAGAGAGAGAGAGAGAGAGAGAGGAGGGGGGCACCCACGGCTAACTAAAGGAACCAAAGCACCATGCTTGTCTTCACATGGTGTCCCATGTACACGACAGAGAGACCAGTTGACCAAAGAGGCCAGCCAATTGTAACGCTCCATGTAATCCCGCCCAGTGAGTTTTGAACTCTCACACCGGATATGGGTAACCAACTCGCCGCCTTCGAACACATCGGAAGGGGCTTCCGTCCTGATAGAAAAGTTAAGCCTTGGGCAGAATATTTACCAGGGCCTTGTTCTGCGCCGTGATGATCAGACTCTCGGTGGCCTGCTTGAGATCAGACTCTCGGTGGTCTGCTTGAGATCAGACTCTCGGTGGTCTTCCTGAGATCAGACTCTCGGTGGTCTTCTTGAGATCAGCATTTGATCAGACTCTCGGTGGTCTTCTTGAGATCAGCATTTGATCAGACTCTCGGTGGTCTTCTTGAGATCAGCATTTGTCAGCCAACTCCTGGAATTCTCGCTGGTCAGTTGTTCTGTATGCCGGACAACATTATTACTGTTTGCATTTGTCCTCCTGCGCTCTCTTCAGTTATTATTGTGAGAACTTTCAACTAGTAACAGGCGCGTAGCTCGTCTATAGTCAACGTAGTTCGGTCACCACACCAGCAAAATGGCTGCCATGATAGGTACTACATCATCAAAAATGGGCAATATGGCCACTATGAGTTTGCCCGTGGTTCATGGTCACTACACCACAGATGTACGCTGGCGGAGGGTCACCACGATGTGCGCTGGCGGAAGGTCACCACGATGTACGCTGGCGGAAGGTCACCACACCACAGATGTACGCTGGCAGAGGGTCACCACACCACGGATGTGCGAGCTACGCCCCTGAGTAAGAAGTCAACCAGATTGTGGCGCTGTTGGGTGGCAGGGGACAGGGTGGAGAATGTAGCAAGTGTAGTGAACATTGATACGACTGTGTGTTGTACATAGCTACGACAGCCTACAGAATATCTTACATGTATAAGACACCCTACAGTTTACTGTACATGGCAAAGACAGGCTACGGTGCATTGTAGGTGGCTCTAAGGCTCACACTACTACCACGTCTTCCAGGGTGTTAGCCGCTCCTGGGTCTAGGCCACACTCCACTTTTCGGGTCCAAAATTCGAAATTTTGTTGACATACATGTATGGTGTACATAAGCCGCACATCAAGCTTTGAATTTTTACAGTTTTAGGCAACCTACAACCTAACAACCTACAGTCCATTCAGAAAAAGATGGACTTCTAGCTTTTGGCCATAAACGGGTCAAACGTTGAGTTTTTTTTAGAATTTTTTTCTGCAATCCCCTTAATTCCCCTATGGAATCCTCTTCCAATTATGTTTCTGAAGTCTATTTCTCCAAGAAAGCAAGCCGTAACAAGAATAGGATTTCGGCCAGGTTTTGCCCCAAGAGCACTTGTATTGGGAAAAACATCAAAATCCAGGCCGTTTGACCCTGCCTGCAACAGTGCATTATGTGGTTCGAACCCCAGTTCAGGTACACTTTTTGGACCCTTTTTCAAATTTCAAATTTCGCACCACTGCACTGTGTACGATAGCATCTTGAAAAATCGCCAAATACGGGAGCTCGCCAGAGCCAGGGCCCATCTTGTTGTGAATGGACTGTAACTTAAAGGGTATCGGCTTACAAGACATTCCCAACAGCTGAGAACAGCTGAGTTGAGAAGAATGATTGAATGATCTACAAAAGTTGTCCATTTTTGTCCTTCACTCAGAACTGACAATGATGGATTGCAGTACATGAAAAATAGTTGAATGACACCATACATGCACTATATGCATGGAGTGCCGTAACACTGGTCGATTCACATCCAGCATTCCGAGTCTGAGCCGCAGGGGCAATTTTGAGTTTTTTTATGCGTATCAAAGTGCAGCTAATACCGGCCCGGAAACACACAGTACTTCCATGCAGGTAAACAAGAATAGCAGTGAAGGTTTTCTTACCATCTTCCTCATCATCATCATAAATAAGATGAAGGTATTGTGTCCTCCAGTGAGCAGTAGAGGTTAGCAATGGATCATCAGCATCAAGACCCCCAGTAGCTGAATGGCCACTTCTGATCTTGATGGCGGGTAGTGAAGGACAGCGCTCAACCTGAATGTGATGGGACCCAGCGAGGGAGAGAGAGAGAGAGAAAGAGAGAGAGAGAGAGAGAGAGAGAGAGAGAGAGAAAGAGAGAGAGAGAGAGAGAGAGAGAGAGAGAGAGAGAGAGAGAGAGAGAGAGAGAGAGAGACAGACAGACAGAGGCCGAGGGGAAGAGAGAATGAGATAGGGAGATAGATTGATGGATACAGATAGATAGAAAGATAGATAGATAGATAGATAGATAGATAGTTAGATAGATAGACCAACAGACACACACGGAAAGACCAACAGACCAACAGACAGACAGATAGACATTTTGGCAAACGCTTCATGTCCATACGACACCACACTAGCACAGGTTCAGCCAAGGAAATCATAAAATGCCGCAATGGCAGATAGGTGGACCACACAAAAAGAGAAAGGCTTGACTGATTGATACTGATATATAAACGTTTTGACGATAGTCCGCTTCAGAATGATAATGATAGACAGATAGACAGACAGACAGATAGGGTCTGTGTATATACATGTCGTGTGTGTGTGTGTGTGTGTGTGTGTGTGTGTGTGTGTGTGTGTGTGTGTCGACGGCTGTCTGATTATCAGTCTGTATGTCTGAGACTTGATTTCCATTTTTTCTTCTTCCATTTTACATTCTCTCTCCCTCCATGTATGTGCATGCGTGTAAGAGTGGGCATGTACCTGCCAGCAGTGTTTGCCTGTCAGTTTCTTGGGCTCTCTGTATGTTCTTACCTATTATCGGCATCTCCATAACGGTGTGCCGGTTTTTTGGCATTTAGCCTACTATTCATCCTCTGCGGCGCTGCTTTGACACAAGCCATTGTGTTTTGCTTTTCATTCATGCCTGTCCTACCTATCCTTCTTCTTACTCCCTCTCCCCTTTCCATGTATTTTTCATGATAATGGTGTATATAGTCAAGCTCACTATGAAGCCCAGACCTCAGGTGACCTCAGGTGACCGAGTTCACTAGGTCTTACTCTAATGTTCCTGTGTGGACGTCAAGTTAGTTTCTGCACTCCATAGATCAACTTCACTCCACAAGTCCCAGACAACAACTAAGGTATATTTACATAGAACAAGAAAAGATAAAGATGAACTACCAGGATGCGTGTATGTACACAGTACGGGAATGTATAGGGATAACTCCACGAACGGATCGGGTACAATCAAATCATGAAAGTGCAGAGTATTTTAGAGAGTGCTATCCATTTATGGATAAGTGTAACGTGACCACACCACTTACCACCCGTTTGCTCCTCAATTCTAACAAGATTGGAACCCATGAGCACTTTGTAGAAAAAACCCAGACAGATAGTGAAATAACCATACATCCTCCCAATACTCTCCAAGCTGTCTCTGGAAAAAAAGAATGAAAAATATCCGAATTATCGGGTAAGGCCCATCTTCGTGTGAAGATGAGTGGTTAAAGTGGATGGCTGCAGTGAAGTCTGCGCATATTGTGATAGATAGTGGAATGAGCAGAGGAAAGCGAGTGGCCGTCTGGTAAGGTGAAACGGTATGGAGTAAATTCACGTTTTTCCCCTTTTCTCCAATCGGCCGGCTGTCCAGTGCACTGACTCTCTTGGTGTAGTTTGCGCGCACAGCTCTGAATGGAATTTATTCTCATTTCATTCCACCATGATGGATTTTCATCATCCTGGGCTCGTTGGAAAGATCAGGACCAAGCGAATCCATCATGGTAGATCTCAGCAACATAGACACACCAGGGCCACTTCCACCTCCTCTCCGAACTACTCCACCGTGCCTCGGAACGGCACAACAACTCAATCTAACGTTCTTGTTTGGCATCTTGCCCAAATTCAACCGATTTTCACGATTCGAACTGTGCTGCAAAGCTGAGATCCAAGCGCTTCATTTGATGTCCATCACGCATGCGTCGTGCCAAAGGGAAATCCCCTAGCACGCTCCAAAAAATTGGGAAGTCATGAACAAAAAAATTCGTGTTTGCTCTGGCCCGTGATTCTGGTGTTCATCCTGTCGCCGCTCAGTGATTCTTTATCCCATCGCGACGAACGTTATATTCGCGGAAAGATGAGCTCAAGACCTTTCCAACGGTGTATTGATTGTCGCGATGCGTTTATGTTTCACAGAGTTACGATAGTTTGTACACTGGTCTATGCACTGCAATATAACATGCGCACTACGAGGACGAGATATCTCGTCCTTGGCCAATCGCGTGGGGGTCTGCAGGACGAGTTATCCCGTCCTTGGCACTGAAAGGGTTTAGTATTAACAACCAGGATTCCATGGCAAAATGGGACAGCCTGGTAAACTGAATGCCAATAGGCCCATGGCCATCTAAGCACTTACTAGAAACTTCGGTTTTTCCTTCTTTGATTTCTTCTTCAGCAAGTCATCTTGTGGAACTTGTGATTCTTTCTGTCGTTCATCCATCTCCTATGCCATAACCACAACAAATCGAAAACATACAGAGGAACTCATTCAATGAGACCTATATGAAACTATCAGAAACTAGGTTGTATTAAAGAAAGTGTAGGTCGGTTGTATTAGCTGTAAATGATACTATTGACGCAGACATAATACCATGATGAAACAATGAAATGAAATATGTATAATAATATTGATTATGCATGGCTCGCTACTTTTCGTAGTTGAAGCACTCTGGCGCTAGAGCGATAAACTATCTTAAATGTCTGTGGTGCCACCTTTTCACCAAGGCCGGTAGTTTGGCTCATTTAAAGCTCGTAGCTTTAGCGATGAGGCCTAGACGGCAAAAACAGCTAGCTGACTACAGCATTGCGTAATAAAGTTCAGAAACATTTTTCTTCAATGATCATCAGTGAATCTACATCGAATAGTGTATAAGGGAAACTAGATTGTACTTTTACAACCCAAGCAGGACTGACTCTGCACTGCAGAGCCATCCCGTAGCACATTATATTGCGAAGGGAGCTCCAATGGTGCTTCCTTCCCTGAAACAACATACTAAACACGTACATAGTGCAATAAGGGTCCGACAGCTGCGAAAATTGTGCTCAACATCTAAGATGGAGTGACGACATGCAACTGAGTCATTGAGCAGTGGACGGCCAAGGAATTCATTGTCACTCTGAGCTTCGTGCAAAAGCACTCACCGGATAGTAACTTCATGTGTTCTGAACTTTATGAAGTTGTCTTATACGTGCTTTGAAGGAGGCGGCAACATCAATATCAACATCCAGATCAGGCCACTCTGCTTACAAAGTAACCCAGATGAAGTGTAATTTCCCTCCTCCCCAACATGGTAATGTTACAGAACAGTTTCATGTAGACGAAGCACCCATGAGTCTCACACCTCACTCAAGCACATGCAGTGCTCCCTGCACTGTCACTTCCGTTGACTGCATGCACTCACTTCTGATCGCATTTCAACCCTGTTGCAGTCAAGCTTACTGGCCACTGAGAACAGCACATTTGGTCACTGTATGCAGGTCAGATACAACACTTGCCACACTAAAACTTGTTTGCTGGTTGCGCACTACAGGAAATCACTGTTTCCGGAGCAGTTTTATGCAGAACTGGCAGTCCATGGAAAAGCGGCCGTTAAAATCAGTTGGAACCACTCGTCTACAGGTTGTATTATTGTGGTACATGTATAACTAGAGACCGTTAGAGAGAGTGTGTACAAGGTGTGTGTACAGGATGCGTGTACAAGGTGTGTGTACAAGGTGTGTGTACAGGATGTGTGGATTCATGTATAACTGTGCTGCTTATAGCCTCATCACCTGAAGTTTGAACATTAACTCTCTCTCTTCTCTTTCACTCACTTTTGGCCCAGAATGGCTTCAAATTACACTTTTCTGAAAGAATAGCTCAACGCCTGACCGGCTTGCAATATTCATCACCAAACACGGTATTATCCTAGGTTCAATCAAGCAAACAGTGCGGCAAGTCTCACGTGTTTGGTAAACTGCTGTCTTGTGCTGCAAAGAGAACACCCGCGTAAACAGAGCCAAGCATGCACAGCAGCATGCACAGCAGCATGCACAGAAAAACAGAAACAGAAGTGCGTAGACAGACAGAGAGACAGATGGATGGACGGACAGACAGATACGCAATCACACACACACACATGCAACCAAAGAAACACACCGGCATACACATTCCAACGGACACAGCCATGAACACATGTCATCATCAGGATATATGCATAAGGCATACATGATAATTCTTTTTAATATACCTCAGAGGCCAATACTACAGCCCCTACGATATATTTCTCCCGCATAGCATTCCAGTCCCACTAAATTTGATAAGCTTCTGTTCTTCCTGTCCTTTCCAATGTCAAGTTATTTTCGAGCTATCAGTAGCCAACTTGCCACCATAGTAATCATCTTTGGTGAAATTGTGCCAGGTGCCTGGCTTCTACTCAGAGTAATATATCCCGGCCTTGGTCAGGATTTTTCCACTTTATGGAACATACTTAGGATACTCAATCTTGGATTTTGCTGTCTGCACTCAGTTGTGCAAAACCCAGAGGGCACAGCCAGGCAGATTGTTTCCCTTCTCATTGTGTGTATTTTTAATGGTCCATATTCTATTGCCCATCTGCCTCCTTAACAACATCAAAGCACACGTCCTACCCCCCCCCACACACACAGACACACACAAGCCCGCGCACACATTGTATTTGCTCACTGCCATCAACTGGCAACATGGGTCTCCCCTTGGGAGTGGAGAGAGAGATTCAGAAGAAATCTTGGAAAGATGACTCAGTTGGCTATCGAACCGCCCAACAATGGCTAACAACTCCCAAACCCCCAACCTACGGGTGGACTTAAAAATATGACTTCACTTATGGGCTTACCACACCGCACTAAGTATGCGAGGGAAAGGTGCAGAAAAGGGATTGACGGCATCAGGGTCCCGTAAACCGTGAAATTATTGCGATGGTCTAATTTCTGCGAAATTCGCGACCGCGTGGAAATCGCGAAATTTAGACAGCGCGAAAAGGAGATCCATGAAAGGTTTAGCAAGAATACCACAGCAGGGATGAATTTATCCGGTATCGCATCGCAGTTTGCGATTCAAAATCGATCGAGTGCGACTCAAAAATCACAGCGACTCGCAGGAAACTGCGATGCATAAACGGCACTGCATACTAGCTCGCGCAGTCAGTAAAAGTGATGCTGTGACTATGTTGTACACTCACTACACCTAGTACCTGTACAGTGCACGGACCCCGCTTTTTTCTCGGGAAGGTGTGATTTCTAGTACATGTACCTGTGAACTGTGGCTGGCTCCGCGTGCACATACTGACTGTACTGGTGAGTGGTGTCCTACTTGAACTACACGTACCACTTTGCGCGGCTTTCATTCAGTAGTTCAGTAAGTAACGTTCATGTACATGATTGTACTTTCCGTACTGACAAGCATCATCTTTCCTCCACGATCCCGGCGGAGGTCTTGTTGTTTGTTTTCTTCTTTCTGGTTCACTTACCTCTTTTCGTGATATTATAGCTTTCTGCTTTCTGGTCGTGAGGAACGTTTGGAATCACGTTCGTCCTTCTCTCTGACAATTGTCCAAGCTGTAGTTTTTGTCTAGTCTGGTTCTGCCTCCAACATGTCTGTACGACAGAGTACCTTTGAGAAGTGGGTGGCAGAGGTTGATGTCCAGAAGAAATGGCTTGGTTCTGAGAAAGCTACAGGTGCAGCGGTGACGCTAATTTTCTGCCAGCTATGCAGACAGCACGAGTACTCCCTCCGTGGACTGAGAAATTTTAGTCGGTTTCCGTGGAAGAAAAAGTGCTAATCAAAAATCAAGGACTGCTACGCATTTTGGCGTTTGCGTCGCGAAACTGCTATGCAAAAAAATGACAGTAAATTCATCCCTGCACAGGTTTAGCAAGAATGCCATTCTGCAATCGCAAAATTGAAACCTCGCAAACCTGTCCGGATTGTGAAAACGCGAACTAAAAACGCCGCGAAAATGTCACGCTTTACAGTATCCGTCCCAGGATGCAAGTGCAGCTACCCCTGCTACCCCTGCTACCCCTGCTCCAGTGAAGGTAATACTTGCTGCTAGTGGCGGTGGTTAAATCAGAGTGGATCTGATAGAAGTTCACACACACACACACGCACACGCACACACACACACACACACACACACACACACACACACACACACACACACATTATATTACATGTACACAGTCACGCATATACTATAAATGGATGTCACATGATAAATGTACATTTCCGAAGGTGTGCAGGGATACAAACAGATAAAGCAAGCACATACCTGCTTTCACCTCTGGTTTTCTTCTCGTTCTTCTGTGATGTGATGTTCACGTTACTGCAATGTCCATCTGTACCGATTCTCCCAACTTTCTGTCCATCGGCACTGGTTCTTTCAACTTTCTGCAACACCACATTATGTAGAATAGTTCAAAAACAGAAAAGTTACATTCCTCATGCAACATGTTTCAGTTGCAAACATGGCATCTGATGTGTTCCCTATCGTTGTTTCTTTTCCTGGCTTTTTTTTTTTACAAAATAGCTATAAACTATCATCGTGCAAATGCCAGCAAGAGATAGCCAGGGAGGCACATAGCGATGGCAGCCGAAGCAGTGGAAGCAGGGCAGAAGCAGCTAAACTGACCAAGGGTGTCGGTAACAACACTGCTCATGCGCACCAAACAGAAAAAAATGCATAATGAAAGGAAAAGGAATGAAAAGGAAAGGTGACAGAAAAAAGCAAAATGAAAAGAAAATGAAGGACAACACTATGGAGCAAGGGAGAAGTAAAAGGTTAAGGTGACAGCACAATAGGATGGAAATGTTGGCTATAAAAGTTCAGCAGGAATTTATACAGGATGCTTCAAAGCGTGGGCAAGTCACCATGTAAAATCTGTGCAGCTGTGTAGTGTTACAGGTGAGTAGAGGCCTAATGCCAGTCAGCAGTCAGCAGAGCAGCAGATACTTGTGAAGTCCTTCCTTGAGTAGCTGGAGGCAAGGTAGAGCAGGTGGTCATGTGAGAAGCTCTGGAGGAAGACGATTCCACTCCTCAATGATGGCTGACGGAAATGATTTACTCGTACACTGTTGTGGGAGTGATGGCTGTGGAGCATGGCACACTGTAATCCGTGGCACACTGTAATCCATGGCACACTGTAATCCATGGCACACTGTAATCCATGTCACACTGTAATCCATGGCACACTGTAATCCATGGCAAAGTCAGCTCTGCTGGCGGGTGGATCATTTCTCACAGTGGCACTGAAGCTAGTTGGGAGGCACTGAAGCTTGTGTCATGACCCGGACTCGACTCGTCGTGAAAACGACCACGCAATGAGATTCAGCAGCCAAAAGCTGGGCTCCGAAATATTCTAGAGTTCTGTAAGAACCATGATTAGTCCCGCGAAGGATTTGGCACTTTCGTTAGTTGAGCAATCATGGCTTACAACTCGTGGCCTCGAGTCACAAGTGTTGTCGTACGGCGGCTACACCTTCAGTACAAGTCGTCAGCATTGTACTCACTACACTGTTGAGCTTGAGGGGACCCTGCTTAGTCCTGCAAGGGAGCTGATACCTTTGTTAGTCGAGCAAGCATGGCACCTCTTCTCGCGTCGTACGACGTAAAGGGACCTGCAAGTGCTTCGCGCACTGCGGACTCCGTTATCCCTTTTTGGGAGAGGTCGCGGCTTGACCGTGAAGCGCCCTACGGGGTAATGAGAGGGAAGAGCCTACGGGGCAGAAGATGAAGGGTGACCCAATCAAGACACCGTACGAAGGCGGCGCGCTCTAGCTGCAGCAACATCCGACAGCGTACTCCAGGCTCCGTCGCACGATCGACGTACGAATAACCTCGGAGATCACTCATATTTGTAACACTATCATGTAATGTGGGTGAGCGAGCTCCCCGAAGCTATACTAAATATTTCCTACTAATTATTATATCACAATTATACTATAACCAAAATCACATAAAAGCCGCCTTCTCGCTCCACATACACTGACATAACGACATGGACCCAGACAACAGAGACAGGAGCACACAGAGTGAGGGTAGTAGGCCGCAGCCAGATGTGACTAGGGTAGTAGGCCGCAGCCAGATGTGAACCGGAATGCAGAAGAAAACTAGGAGCAACAAGAGGGGGACAGACCCAGGAGTAAGGAATTAGCACATTCATCTAATAAGCCAGGACAAGCACCACTTGGGACCGTCAGATTAATTTCTCTGGACCGAGCCAGCCGGGAAAAAACCCTCGCGCCGACGGACGCATGAATGAGGGAAAAAACCGGGTGTATAACCCCAAGTGGCAATCTGGCAGTATAAAAACAGGCACAACATATCTACAGCCAAGAAAGAAATGGAAGAAGATGGGCAGACATGAAGGGTGGGGACACTGGTGAGACACAAAAAACTGACTGAAGGAGTCAGGCAAAAAGAACGGCAACAAAAAGCGAAAACATCAGATTCCATATTCGCAAGACAAATAATTTTGTTGCGCGAGAAATCATTTCTCGCCTCACTCGCTCCGCTCGGCCGGCGAGAAATAAAACTTCTTCCAACGAATAAAAGTATCTTTTGATCGCTCCCCTTCAACCTTCGACTACCTTGTGTGAGCCGGAAAACAGGTGTGAGCTAGCAACTTGGATGGCGACTATATTGGTCGTCTACCTGGGTAGCCACTAGACTGATCTAAGCCAAGTCACAAACCCGCCAAGCGCGGCCATGACACTTGTATAGGTAGGTGTGAGTAGTGACAGCGCGGCGGAGGGCCAGACTTGGGAGCCATAACTCACGGGAGATACTCTTTGTAGTGTATGTGTAGTTACTCTTTGTAGTGTATGTGTAATGGTAGTTTTCTCCGACCCTGTTATTGTGCTTTGATGAACCCGACATAACAAGTGGCGACGAAGATCGGATCATGGCGCTGCTCGGAAACCTGGGCCCCTTCACATCTACGGATGCTGATGACTGTGAGTCTTATCTGGCCAGGCTGGATCAATTCTACAAAGCGAATAAAATTGAGGACGGGCGGAAGAAATCTGTATTCTTGACAGTTGTAGGAGAAAGTGTTTTCAGGTTGCTAGTGACGCTGATCGCACCAGCAACACTGGATGACAAGTCCCTCTCAGAGCTGCGACAGACTCTGACTGCACACTTCTCCCCTAAGCGTCTGACAATTGCGGAACGCTACAAATTTTGGAGCCGCAGCCAGCAGGCAAGTGAGAGTTATCATGACTATGCCGCTGAGCTACGACGTTTGGCAAAGACCTGTGACTTCGGCAATGGTCTGGAAGATGCCATCCGCGACAGGTTCGTCTGTGGCATACGAGACGCTGTCGTTTGTAAAAAAATTGCTGACCATCGATGCCCTCACTTTGGAGACTGCTCTGAAAACGGCTGCAGCTCAGGAGGTGGTCGATCGCGAGGCTGCGCGCTTGATGGCCGCGGGTAGATCTACCTCCGAGTCCAGCGATGTCCATGCCGTTTGGCACAAGAGACAGCCACCTGCACCTAGACAGCGAGGCAAGTCCGGAGCCAGCACTACTGACGGGGCTGCGCCTTGTTATCGCTGTGGCAATAAGGACCATGCTCCTTCACAGTGTCGCTTCAAGGCTTCCGAGTGCCACTACTGCCACAAGCGTGGGCACCTCGAGAAGGTGTGTCGTACGAAAAAGGGCGACCAACACCAAACCAATTTTGTATGTGAGGAGCATGAAGTTGGTGATGTGTACTCCGTAGAGTCCCGTCCCAAGCTAACTGTGAATGTGATGTTAGACGGGGTGGAAACGACAATGGTGCTCGACACCAGAGCTGCAGTGAGCCTTATGTCACGTGAGACGTGGGACCGTACCAGTGACAAACAACTCGAACCGGCTAACATCAAGCTGCGCTCGTACACAGGTGATGAAGTCAATGTGTTGGGTCAAGCCACAGTGGAGGTATGCTATGATGGCCGTACAACGCCATTGCCACTGCTCATTGTTGAAGGCGAGGGTGCTACACTGCTCGGAAGGAATTGGTTGCCACACGTCCGACTCGACTGGTCATCCGTGTTTGGGGTTGACGAACCTACGGATGGACTCAATTTGGAGCGGATAGTTGCTGACAACGCGACCTTGTTTGACGGCCACGTTGGTGAGCTGCGAACAGGTGCATCTACCTTGCATCTGAAAGAGGACGCACGACCGGTGTTCAGGCGTCCCTTTTCAGTGCCGTACGCTGTCAAGCCCTTGGTTGAGGAGCAGCTCAGGAAGATGGAGCAGCAGCACATTATAGAGCCTGTCAAGCACAGCGAGTGGGCAACACCAGTAGTGGCTGTTCCAAAGCCCGATGGCTCAGTTCGTCTCTGCGGTGACTACAAGGTCACTGTGAATCCCCAACTACGAGTGGACCAGCACCCACTGCCGACAGCGCAGGACATCTTCAGCTCCCTGAATGGCTGCAAATATTTTGCGAAGCTGGATTTGTCGCAGGCGTATCTGCAAGTGCCGTTGGATGAGGCGTCCCAGAAGATGACTACCATCAACACGCACAAGGGCCTGTACCAGTTCAATCGTCTGCCCTACGGTGTTGCATCGGCTCCAGCGGTGTTCCAAGGAATCATGGACAAGCTCCTGGTTGGCTTGGAAGGCGTGTCCAAGTACCTGGACGACATCCTGATCGCTGCACCCACTCGCAGACTACTGCTGGAACGTCTGAACACGGTGTTGTCGATTCTGTTGCAAGCTGGTCTGAAGCTAAAGAAATCGAAATGCATGTTCTTCTCCGACTCAGTCCAGTACCTCGGCTTCAAAATTGACGCGTCGGGTCTACACGCCACCGATGAGAAAGTGCAAGCGGTTCAGAACGCACGTGCACCGACGAATGTCACGGAGCTCAAGTCATTCTTGAGTCTGGTGAATTATTATGGCCAGTTCATTGAGAACCTGGCTTCGCTCGCACAGCCTCTCTACGGTCTCCAGAAGCGTAACACCGTCTGGAAATGGCAAGCGCCACAGCAGCAAGCCTTCAGAGCTTTGAAGTCAGCTCTGAGTGCACCACCAGTTCTAGTTCATTATAGCCCTTCGCTACCGCTACGTCTGACCTGCGATGCATCAGGCACAGGAATTGGCGCTGTCTTGTCCCATGTGATGCCGGAAGGGCAGGAGCAACCAATCGCATACGCCAGCCGCTCTTTGACAACCAGCGAGCGCAATTATAGCCAACTGGAACGAGAAGCGCTTGCTATCGTGTTCGGTGTCACCAAGTTCCACTTGTACCTCTATGGACGGCGCTTCAACCTGGTGACCGACAACCGCCCTCTTGCCGTAATCTTCGGTCCAAAGAGAGGCATCCCCTCAATCGCAGCCATGCGGTTGCAGCGTTGGGCTGTAACACTATCAGCGTATCAATACGATGTGATGGTAAAGACGACTGAAGCCAACGCCAACGCTGATTACCTGTCACGCATGTCGCTTGATTCGCATAGCGTTGATGTGTGTGAGGTGTCTGAGATTCTGACGACTCACCAGGATCAGCTGCCAGTCCTCGCAGCAGACATCAGTGCAGAGACGGCCAAGGACATCGTGCTCAAGCAGGTACTGCAGCATGTCGCCAATGGTTGGCCCGAGACTGTCCCCTCAGAGCTGAAGCCCTTCCACCGCATCGCAGAGGAGCTCACAGTAGTGCAGGGCTGCCTTCAGCGAGGATTTCGCACAGTGGTGCCCAGCACGCTTCAGCCCCGGCTCCTTCAAGAGTTACACATTGCACACCCTGGTATGGTGCGCATGAAGGCTTTGGCAAGGAACCATGTATGGTGGCCAGGTCTTGACAGCGACGTGGAGCGAGCCGTCCGAAGCTGCCATGCATGCCAAGTGAACAAGAATCGTGATCAACCAGTGGAGGTGACACGTTGGCCCAATCCAGCAGCACCCTGGAGTCGCATTTACGCCGATTTTGCTGGACCAATGGAAGGACGAATGTATTTGATCGTGACTGATGCATTCTCCAAGTGGTTGGAAGTGATTCCTATGTCCTCCACCACCAGCAAGACGACTATCGCAGAGTTCCGGAAGCTGTTTGCGGCGTATGGTTCTCCTGATGCAATCGTGACGGACAACGGCCCGCAGTTCACGTCCGTGGAGTGGAGCAACTTCATGGCTGAGAGAAGTATCATCCACCTGCGCAGTGCACCATACTTCCCCGCAACCAACGGAGATGCAGAACGCTGTGTCCAAACATTCAAAGCTGCCTTGTAGAATGAGAAGCGTGGTCTACTGTCCTGGACCGAGGCACTGCAGACGTTCTTGGAACGGTATCGCTGGACTCCTCATGCGACAACAGGAGAAACTCCATCGGCATTGTTCCTTCAACGGGAGCTCAAGACCAGACTGCACCTGGTACAGCCGCAAGCCAAGAATACCACCACCGCTGCCTGCCACCAGCCGCCAGCAAAAGGGTTGGACGAAGGCAGCGCCGTCTATGCGGGGATGTTCAACCAGCCTCAGAAGTGGTCAGCTGGCACCGTATTGCAGCGGAAAGGCACCAAGTCTTTCGAAGTTAAACTGGCCAATGGTGTCATTGTGCGTAGACATGTGGACCAGCTGCGTGTTCGTGGTCCTGCAACGACTCCTGAGCTTCCCTCTGATCCTGAGAAGGTAGTTCAGCAACGTGATGCTCGGACGCCATCAAGGCGTCACGCACTGAAGCCACAGCGCTACAGGGACTGAACTATTCTAGAGCACCGCTCTGTTCTCTTGTTCATGTTCAGCCGCCTTGTCATAATGCTCACTCTTCGCACACTGTCCTGCCCTCTGTTAGGCTCTCCCTTGTGTTTTTGAAGGGGGAGATTGTAGTGTATGTGTAGTTGCATGACATCATTATTGTGTGTACACCAGTCCGCATGCGCGGTCTCTGAATCTGCATAACTTCTAGTGGAGCGGTGTTCTTTTCCCGCGCCTTGCTTGCTTTCGGACTGTTCTTCCAGATGTACTTGTAATGGTAGTTTTCTCCGACCCTGTTATTGTGCTTTGATGAACCCGACATAACACTCTTGAGAGCTTGTATCTAAATAGCATCTAGTTGGCGAAGGATTGTGGATTTTGGTGGCAGCCCCCAGACACACCAGCGGGCAATACTCCATTATTGATCTGACAAAGCCTTTGTAGACCTCGCTCCCTTCCACGAGCGTCGAGGATGGGGGTAGCTCTGGTCAGGAAATGTAGCCGTTGGCGTGCAAGTACATCTACAGAGCGCAACTTCTGGTGAAAAGACAACTGTGTATCAAACTGGACTCCTAGGAGCATGAGCTTTGCTTTCTCCACAACTGGTATTCCATCGAAGGAGATGGCTGGGAGCTGCCAATGTGGCCGATGATGATCGATGGTGAGGACCTGGGTTTTGGTGGGCTTAGATAAGATCTCCCAGGCCTCGCCCCAGGCGGAGAGGTCATCCACTGCATGCTGCAAAGCACGGCTTTGTTCATTCACATCTACGTCTACCGCAGGACACTGACACATTGTGGTGCCATATGCGTAGACACCAAAGTCTACTTCCTCTCGGAGAGTAGTGTCACAGTTGTTCACATACAATAGGAACAGGGTAGGCCCAAAAGATACTTCCCGAGGGACACTGGCAGTAATGGAGAAAAATAGGACTCGTGGCCAGGTGCGACTGCATGGAGATGCCAGGCTGATAGATAATCGGTCAACCAGGCTAAAAGGGGTCCCCGAGCCCATAGACAACTTCCTCAGTCCTTTTTGAATCTCACCAGTGTCCCTGCCCCTCACCCTTCATTTCTGCGCACCTTAATCTCGATTTTTCCAACTTTTTGCTATGATGTGCTTTGCCATGTTTCCATGATGCCAAATCTCCATTGGGGATATACGCCCATTTCTTCACCTCACTACTGCGTCCGTCGGCGTGAGGGCGGTGCTCATTAAGCAGAACCAGGAAATGAGGTTCCACTATACCACAATTTCTTGTTTTTTTTAGGATAGAGCCTTCAGGATTCGGGTTTATGGTCTACCCTGGATCTAGCTTGTACAACGCCGGTTACAGGGCGGGGGGGGGGGGGGGGGCTTGCTTTTCCATCACCTTGAAATGGGGCAGCTGTTGGCAACACTCTTCTCACTCCACATATACTGGCATACACAGAGACATAGACAGCAATAGCGACAACACACAAAGTGAAGGGTAGTTGGCCGCAGCCAGATGTGAACCGGATAACGAGTGAGGCATGGAAGCAAGCAAGGACTGAGAACAGAGTGTCTCAGATAGAATAGGCATGCCAGTGGATAGCAGAAATAGGCCATGATGCAGAACCACTTGGGACCGTCAGATTAATTTTCCTGGACCGAGCCAGGCGGGAAAAAACCCTCGCGCCGACGGATGCATTTGTGAGGGAAAAAACGGGTGTATATCCCCAGTGGCGATTAGGCATCATGTAGGCATGGCAAGCACATCACGGCAAACAGTGATAAAAAACATTGATAATATGCACAGAAATAAAGGGTGGGAGGGCAGGGACACTGGTGAGACTCAAAACTGACTGAAGAAGTCAGGAAAAGAAGCGACAACAAAGAACACACCAGATGCCATATTTGCAACTGAAAATATTTCGCGAGAAATCATTTCTCGCCTATCTCGCTGCACTCGGCCGGCGAGAAATACAACTTACCTGATCAGGTGATAATCCTTGCAGGGTCGCTTCACGGAGTGATTGAATTTCTTCTCTCTCCTGTAAGCGAAGGATTTGTTACACACATGCGAGCAACAACGCATACATCCCCCCCCCCCCCCCACGTTCACACGTGCGCGCACACACACACACATGCATGCACATACACATGCACACTCACACGAGCATGTGGGTATTATACACAAACACACATAGTTAGTTCCTGAGAAACTGAGAAACAACTGAAATGATTAAGCGACCACCCCACTGTGCAAACAAAAGCGGTCGTTAAAGCCAGGTGGTCTTTAGAACCAGGTCCAATACATTTGTGGCATATCGGATCGTGTACGTACATGTGCATAATTGTACTTCGAAGTACATGTATGTACTCATATTGACAGGTGTGGAGCATAGGATATTTTCATGCAAGAAAAGTACACCTCACTCAAGTCCATGCAGCGCATCCTGCAGTGTAACTGGTCACCTCTGTTTACTGCATGCACTTGCTTCAGTCATTCAGAGCGCACTTCAACATGTTGCAGTCAGCCCTGCCAGCCAAGATGGCACTTTTGGCTAGTTTTGGTCGCTGTGTGCAGGTCCAATATGGCATTTGGTACACTAAAAGTCGGTCGCTGGTCGCGCAAGGCAGGTGGTCGTTGTATCCGGTGCAGTTTCTGTGTAGAACTGTCGGTGCATGGAAAAACGGTCGTCAAAAGCAGGTGGTCGCTTACACCAGGTTTTACTGTTATGCCTGGTTCACACTAGGCCGATTTTCCGGCCGACATGGACTCGTACGAAAAATCCTCAAGATCGGGGCGAAAATTGCGTAGTGTGAACTGTGTTGTCGTACAGGGTTCCGACAAATCTGCGGCGATTTTCTTGTCGCACTAGTTTTCGGCCAAGTATTGACTGGTCGATATTTAGCCGAAAAGCCGGCCGATTTTTACTGCTTGCACGTGATGGAGCGGTCATCGGACCAATCACGGTAGGCTTTTCACCATGACAGCAAAGAGCGTCGATGTCGAGCTCATGACCTCTTGTACTTTTGTACTCTTGAGTCTTGATGAAATGTAAAGTCCTACCAAAATTTCATAACCCCCATGAACTCTTGCTTTTATGGATAATCGATGCGACTCTATTGCGAGTGAGTCGTTCCCCGTGTGTGAACAGGCCGTCCGACTCAGTCAACACAGTCGGCAGACTCCATGTCGGAGTCGGTGTCGGAGCACCGGCCGGAAAATCGGCCTAGTGTGAACCAGGCTTAAGTCGACTTTTCCCGTTTGCATCTTTCCCTCAAACTAGTGAGTAATAAGTCAAGGCAAATACTTCGTCGAATATCAAATCAATCAAACCAAGAGTACATACACCGGAGTGTGCAGCACCTTATCTATGCTACTCAAAACTGATCTCACCGCGAAGCTTTTGCTTAGGTCATCTTGAATCATAGAAAACATGTACAGTCAAATCTGTCGTAAGCGACCGCCCCTTGGTGCAAGAAAAAGCGGTCTCTTACGGCAGATGGTCTCTTACGGCAGATGTATGGTAAATCCGGCATACCGGGCATGCATATATGCTTCCATGTACTCAAATCGACGAGAATAATGTGATTTTTAATAATATCATTTTATTGGATATTCGATAGAATATAGGGGTGCACAAACCCAAGAATAGTGCACATACCAGGGCTAATCTTGAGAGCTACAGCGCAGCCTCAGTACAGGCTAGGGCCAGTCGATCGCACTTGCAAGACAGCGCATTTTCAAACCTTGCAGTTGACAGCGCACTGGCAAGTACAGTTTCGCACCTGACTGAACCTGGGTCGTGGTCGCTTACAGCAGATTGAATGCAGCCATCGTGCATGAAATCGCGGTCGCTGGTCGCGCACAGCAGATGGTCGCTCTGGACAGATCAGTTTGTATGTGAAACCGTCGGTGCACGGAAAATCGGTCGCTAACGGTAGATGGTCGCCTACAACAGAGGTCGCTAACGGCAGATTTGACTGTAACACCGTAGGCTCAGGGTTACAAATCACCTTATCACTAAGGTGATAGCAGGAACATCGCGCTTTTCACTTTTGGTATGACAAGCTGCAAGCAGCAATGCACACTGCAGAAATTACCTTGGTGATGGGGTAAAATGACCGTGAGGACATGTTTGAGATACAGAAAAGGTGAGTCACTATGACCTTAACAAAACATTTCGCCATGGGATGATTTCCCCGAGCTGTAAACTCTGGTCCATGTACTCTTCATCAAACTGTAATAAGTGATTCACAAGTTGTTATTGTTTTTATGTGACTTTAATTCAGGCACGATTGAACAGGCATGGCTGCCTTCTCACTAGAGGGTAACCCCAGCTCCTATAAGAAAAGGCGAATGATCTGTCCCAGAGTTGATATTACCAACACAATTAATATCATTACAGAGTTGGTACTACCAAGGTTAGTGACAGAATTACACAATCAGGACAAAAGACACAATATTACCTTGAGAGAATTAAAAAAAAATCATGGTTGACTAGCTCATACCTTTCTCTCCTTTTGCCACTTGTAACAATCATTCAAGGTGAGTTTCGGATTCTTTATCCATTCCGACAAGCGAATTGAATGGCACCTACGTAAGACAAAAACGAAAGAAAAGCATTTTAAATAGTTAGTGCGTGATTCACACGACGTGCAAACCCACGTGTATCGCACTGTATCCATAGAGATATACTCGTGTGACCAAAACGCGAGTGAAATCTTTTTACACTTGTGCGCGAGCCATGTGCCCACGTGTGTGCTTTGCGCGCGTGTAAAAACCAGCGAAAGTACTGGAGTATGCTCAAGTACACCGACTCATGCGAGATTTGCACACGTCTGGTATATGTGTGAATCTGCCGGGCAGCTTGTCCACTTCTACACAAACATGTTATCGTGTATTTTACACGCTGTGTGAATCGCCTATAAGGGGTCATCCTTTTAAATATCGATATTTTTTCAAGACGATAATTGTTTTGTTCATTTCTTCCCGGACCCCCCCCCCCCTCAAACGAACATACCGGTACACATGTTTATGCAGGGCATGGATATGTTTCAATGAAGTGCAATCTTCTCGTGAACCGTGACCAACTGCAACTCCAAATTCACCATACACCTAGGTTTGCATTGCCACGGTCACACAACCTTGCCGTGGCCATGTTCAAGAGGCTGACTTTCACTTTGCGTAGGTCATAAAATACGTGTTTGCACAGTGCCTGTCCACATCTAGGGATCGATAATTTTTTCACACAGACGAGACGAACATGGACTCCCCCCACCACCCCCCACCCCCACCCCCCAACGAACCGGGCCAATATCTTCTCTAAAAAATAGATTGGAGTGAACAACTTGTCAACGCCTTCTAGGTTCGGCCTGGTCCCATAGCTCAGACGGTTAGAGCATTGCTCACTGACAAGCACGGTCCCAGGTTCAAATTCTGGTGGGTCTGGCATTTTTTCTCTTTTCAGGCAGTTAAACTTCCCCGACTGACCTTTGAATCTTGAAGTTCTCCCAATCATTTCAAAAATACATTGATATTAATTTTGTGGACGACCCCTAATAGTAGTAATTAACTGAAACCAAGGAATTTCGTTGCTCCCACACTGGAACTCGTGCTTTTCCTGATAAAAAAAATATCGTCGAAGTCGCTACCAGTATTTCCAACTGGTCCAGGTAAAACATTTGGTTTTCGATGTGTACCTGAATCAGAAAGGTAAAAATACTGTAATACATCATCCAGATCTATGCTTATAAAGAGAAAGAAATATCTGGTTAATCCGCAAAAAAATTGAATGATTGCGGTTGCTGCATCTCAACTCACCGCTTCTGGATAATCTTGATGGCTTCTGCATTGATACGTACAAAGTTGCCATGGTCAGTGAACACATGTGATTTCCGCATTGCTGAACAAAACATGGCATAAAAAGCACACCACTGCTCAGGCATGCAGGCATGCAGGCATGCAGGCATGGTGCAGTACATGTACAGTGCTGGCAACTGACTCCCTTGTCCCGACTCCCACCGCGCCGCCAAGGGAGTCGGATTTCAGTTGCCAGCACTGTACTTCAAATACAAACGTGCACGTGTTCAGCGAAAGGGTCAAGCTGATGGCGCATTCATTTCCGGATCAAATCATGCACCAAGATTCAATATTGATCGGAGTCAAATCAAACACAGATTTCGAGCGAGATTTTCCTTAGCAGCTATAACCTCAGACTCGTAGCCCTCAGTGTTTCCAGGTTGCCGGGAAACCCCCTCCGGGGTGCAGCACAGACGCCAAAACCTTTGAAAGCTACAGTTAACCTGGTATGAGCGGTGACCTCTGGCTTGACCACAACAGGGCTGAAGTGCACTCAAAGTTCTCTTTCATGTTGCGTATTACAATAGAAAATTCTTAGATGTGAATGAACCACAACACACTGACAATGGTAATGTAAAGTCCCAGATTGGGCAGGCTCCGAGTTAACCCCGTCGGAGTACAACCCCAGCCCCCCCCCCCCCTCACAGACCCTTCCAGCTACAGGCCTGAACCTGGTGATGGCATCACTGGTACAGAACACTCCACTTAGCTAAGAACCAATACTGCTAGTCAAGCTGGTGTCATCACTCACTCAATGTGCACATAACACTGCTAGTCAAGCTGGTGTCATCACTCACTCAATGTGCACATAACACTGCTAGTCAAGCTGGTGTCATCACTCACTCAATGTGCACATAACACTGCTAGTCAAGCTGGTGTCATCACTCACTCAATGTGCACATAATATTGCTAGTCAAGCTGGTGTCATCACTCACTCAATGTGCACATAATATTGCTAGTCAAGCTGGTGTCATCACTCACTCAATGTGCACATAATATTGCTAGTCAAGCTGGTGTCATCACTCACTCAATGTGCACATAATATTGCTAGTCAAGCTGGTGTCATCACTCACTCTGGCAATGTGCACATAATATTGCTAGTCAAGCTGGTGTCATCATCACTCACTCAATGTGCACATGTTTGGCCAGTACTGAGGTTACTAACACCTCCACGGTAAGGTTGCTTCATGAATGGCCTAGTTTGGGATGATTTTTCTAGGGAGACGACAGGAGTGCGTGGCATGCAGAATGGTGCGGGCGTTGCTGCCGGTCTGCTCATTACAGTCACAGAGCCAAACAGAGCCGAACAATGCATGATGGAGATGCAGTGATCTACGGTCTAGGGCAACAGCCTCAAGTGCTATCTCTACATGGTACACGATACAGGCCAAGGCATTGCAACGATTGCAGGCAGAAAACATGCCTTGGCGCTATGTCCAAAGTGAATTTTGACCATGGCACATCGGTGATGGTGAGGAAGGTTTGTCTTTCCCAGCATGCCGTGTCAGTGGAGTGCCAAATTCCACGCTCCACTTCCGTGGTTGCCATGGACTGTTGTCATGGTATTTCGTACTATGCCCTGAATGACCATGCCTAAAGTAGGCCTGTGGCACCGACTTTGGAGGTGGGGTGGCCATGGAAGGGGGTGCGGGGGTCCTCCCGGGAAAATTTTCTAAATTGAAGCCAATTGCAAGCATTTCGGCGCATTTGGTGCCATTTGGTGCCATTTCGGTGTAACTACAATGACTTATTGATTCTGCAACAAAACAAGAAGATGCTACTATTGGTGACAAGGATACTCCATTACCCTTCCCCGAGAAAAAATGTCAAAAATTGAAGCCAATTTGCATCCATTTCCGGGCATTTGGTGCCATTTTAGTGTAACTGCAATGAAAGACTTTTTGATTCTGCAACAAACCAAGAAAACGCTACGATCAGGGACACGGATTCTTCATTACTCGCCACATTTGTGCTGAGCTGCAATCATCGCTCTTTGTTGCAGTGTGCTCCAAAAAAACCCACAAAAGTGGGGCGGCCTCTGTCGCCCCAGCCGCCTAGGCTGTGACGGACTTGTAAAGTGCGTGAACTCCTGCATCAGCCCCTTAGCAACAGTTTAGGGTCAGGTTTTAGGTCAATGTTAGAACAGAGGCTGTACTGCATGTCTGTGTATGATGGTCCTACGCAAACTATCAGTAATCTGATGTTGCATGTGAGAAAATATTGCTAATTCCTCATACAATCCTGTGCCGAATGGTGGTGAATTTGGATGGTCATGGAACAGCAAGGAACATTGCACTAGAGAGCTCTGAAAAAGAACACATAGTGCTTTCTCTCCCCTCCCCTCAAACAAAAGCTGAAGTGAGGTGCTGATATTGATGGACTGTAATGTGACACCACAAAACAGTTTTACTGACCTGCCAAATGTTTCGGTATCTTCTCAAAGACTTCAGCTGAAGTCAGTGCAACATGCATGGCCAGCAATCTGCACAAATACACAAGCACAGATTATACATTTAAACCCCTGGATAGCTAGCCACTTCGAAGGTGACGTCTTTAGGTCTCGTGACGGTGGAGCTCAGAGGCAGACAATACCTAGCAGAAGGTCAGGCTGAACATGACTCAGAACTGTTCTCATATTTCCAGTCTTATAATCACTCATAATTATGTCAACAGAAATAAACTCGTTAGCCGACTTAAAATCCTGCGCAGCAGTGCAGGACTTTGACAGAAGACAGAACGACAGACACTTTGAATATACAGTCAACTTCGCTAATAACGACTGCGGATATAACGACAATTCGCGAATAACGACAGAATTTCCATGCCCAGAGCAAAGTCCCTTCCCACTGTAATACATATAATGAGACTTCGGGTATAACGACACTTCGCGAATAAGGACACCTTTTTGATGCCCCGCCGAGTGTCGTTATAAGCAAAGTTGACTGTACTACTAGAGTACACTGGCCATCGAGTAAACGCACATAAAGGCATACATGCCAAGTTACATGCCAAGTTACATGCCAAGTTACATGCCAAGTTACATGCCAAGTTACATGCCAAGTTACATGCCAAGGTAAAGGGCAAACTGGTTCAGTAGGATGCGCATGTACTCGTACATGTATAGAGAGCATGGGTGAGGCTATGGCCCTGAATAGTGTTCAAGCAAAGTTTGAACTATACCCCGTCAATACAGTGAGTGCAAAGGTGCATACCTGAGATGTTCACAATGCCGTTTTGATTTCTGTTAGAAACAGTACACAACACACATATGCAGCATGACGTTAAAAGCATTCTACACTTCAATCTTAGAGTTTTATGATCTACATGTACATGCTAAAAGAGTTTTAGCTTCTGCTGATGGTGTACATACCGGCATGTTGTGTACTGGGTTGATGCTAGAAGAAGGGGTGGGAGAGATCCTTGTAGTGGGCAGATGTGGGTGCCTGCATACATACATAATAGTTATGAGCAATGTCAACTGATGAGCCTACCCAGTTCTTGGTGAAGGCTTCGTCTAACACACGCATCCAATAGTCGCCACACTGTGCAGCCATCATACCAATCTAGAAGCATATCAAACAGGTCAGCGACAAAGGAGAACAATAATAGAAAAGCTGACAGGATCGCTTTTCTAAAGGACACCAACAATGACAACATCAGCTGAGCATCAAGAGCAGCAACAAACGCACTGTAAAAGGATGCAGAAAGCAGTATGAACCTAAATACACCCACATGGTCTGAGCATACAGAATAGAACAGTGGACCAAGCCTATGATGGTATTGTTACTCAGGCGGTGTTGTTACTCAGATGGTGTTGTTACTCAGATGGTGGTGTCATACACAATGTCATAGTACAATCACCGGACAACAGGGAGAAGAGTAATGATCAAGTCACCGGTATAACTATGTGTTATGTACATTGTACAAGGAAACCAGGGTGTTAATAACGGGGAAATTGTGTGCCAGTGCCAGGAATCGCAGCTTAGGGTAAGAGGTTTGAAGTGAGGAGGGGAGAGGGAGGTGACATGGTACTTTTGTGGTGTCGTGCTTTCGGTGTTAGGGTGTCTTGTGTTGTGCTAAAGTTTATCAGCGGAACTTGTGTACATGGGATAGTGTGAGCTTCAGTACAGATTTGCTACTTCACCGTATTGGGATAACAGATGACTGCTCCTATTGTGATACCACAACGACTGTACAGGTACTTGTGCTCACACCAGCACACTAGTAGAATTGAATTCCTAATGATTTTTGAAATATGGGGACATTAGTGTGGGGAGAAGGTGGTGATCTTCAGTGTGCCAAGGCCACATTGCTTTTGCTTTGTGATGCTGCTACAGTAGACTCTTTCACGATCGGCTTCCTTTGTGATTGTTAAAAGATATAAAGTTACTGGTAATGAAAGACAAATATTGGCCAGTTGTCAGATATCCTCACAGACATAATTCTATAGCCTAGGACAGAACATAGTATAGATAACCTACTGAAGCTACGTCCAGTTACCGGTACCTGCCATGCACCCACATGTACATACCTGTCCCCTCGGAAATTTGTAGAGATAAAATATTAAAGTTGTGATGGTTTTGCTGGCCCTACATAAGTGTGTTTGGGGTTAAGAATACGGGGCAAGCGGTTGGAGCACGGGCAATATCACCTACACATTCACACACTCACACACACACATGTGTCACAGTCGTCCCCAAAATTCATCCAAACATCGATACAAGTGACTATCCGTGTAGCTATAAGGGAGAACTAAATCAATAGAAAGTCAAGTACTCGCTGGTAGCTAGCGTGTGTGAACAATGCTGTATGTACAGCTAGCGTGTGTGAACAATGCTGTATGTACAGCTAGCGTGTGTGAACAATGCTGTATGTACAGCTAGCGTGTGTGAACAATGCTGTATGTACAGCTAGCGTGTGTGAACAATGCTGTATGTACAGCTAGCGTGTGTGAACAATGCTGTATGTACAGCTAGCGTGTGTGAACAATGCTGTATGTACAGCTAGCGTGTGTGAACAATGCTGTATGTACAGCTAGCGTGTGTGAACAATGCTGTATGTACAGCTAGCGTGTGTGAACAATGCTGTATGTACAGCTAGCGTGTGTGAACAATGCTGTATGTACAGCTAGCGTGTGTGAACAATGCTGTATGTACAGCTAGCGTGTGTGAACAATGCTGTATGTACAGCTAGCGTGTGTGAACAATGCTGTATGTACAGCTAGCGTGTGTGAACAATGCTGTATGTACAGCTAGCGTGTGTGAACAATGCTGTATGTACAGCTAGCGTGTGTGAACAATGCTGTATGTACAGCTAGCGTGTGTGAACAATGCTGTATGTACAGCTAGCGTGTGTGAACAATGCTGTATGTACAGCTAGCGTGTGTGAACAATGCTGTATGTACAGCTAGCGTGTGTGAACAATGCTGTATGTACAGCTAGCGTGTGTGAACAATGCTGTATGTACAGCTAGCGTGTGTGAACAATGCTGTATGTACAGCTAGCGTGTGTGAACAATGCTGTATGTACAGCTAGCGTGTGTGAACAATGCTGTATGTACAGCTAGCGTGTGTGAACAATGCTGTATGTACGTGTGTGAACAATGCTGTATGTACAGCTAGCGTGTGTGAACAATGCTGTATGTACAGCTAGCGTGTGTGAACAATGCTGTATGTACAGCTAGCGTGTGTGAACAATGCTGTATGTACAGCTAGCGTGTGTGAACAATGCTGTATGTACAGCTAGCGTGTGTGAACAATGCTGTATGTACAGCTAGCGTGTGTGAACAATGCTGTATGTACAGCTAGCGTGTGTGAACAATGCTGTATGTACAGCTAGCGTGTGTGAACAATGCTGTATGTACAGCTAGCGTGTGTGAACAATGCTGTATGTACAGCTAGCGTGTGTGAACAATGCTGTATGTACAGCTAGCGTGTGTGAACAATGCTGTATGTACAGCTAGCGTGTGTGAACAATGCTGTATGTACAGCTAGCGTGTGTGAACAATGCTGTATGTACAGCTAGCGTGTGTGAACAATGCTGTATGTACAGCTAGCGTGTGTGAACAATGCTGTATGTACAGCTAGCGTGTGTGAACAATGCTGTATGTACAGCTAGCGTGTGTGAACAATGCTGTATGTACAGCTAGCGTGTGTGAACAATGCTGTATGTACAGCTAGCGTGTGTGAACAATGCTGTATGTACAGCTAGCGTGTGTGAACAATGCTGTATGTACAGCTAGCGTGTGTGAACAATGCTGTATGTACAGCTAGCGTGTGTGAACAATGCTGTATGTACAGCTAGCGTGTGTGAACAATGCTGTATGTACAGCTGCTGCACTACATACTCTTCTGCACCATCTGATGATCGTTCATTCTGCAAGTTCTACTCTTTCCCACATCATTCGCAACGATATTGTAAAAACTTCACAGTTTGCTGCAAAGGCAGAAATTTGCAGAACATTTTGCTGTGGTGAGATTGCAAATTTCCGAGGGGGCATACATACACACACGGACACATACACACATGGACACATACACACTCGGTCACACACAGACACATACACACAGACTCATATACACACGGACACACACACGGACACCTCCTCCTCCTCCTCCTTCGCCCACTGCCACGATTGGCTATGTGTCCCCAAACGGGGCGACTTGAAGGAGTGCTGTCTTCGGAACGCGGTATCAGGCCCTGCGAGTCCGGCGGGGCGTGAATGGCTGTTTGACTGTTTCTTTTTTGCTTTTGCGGAGCGACGGGGGGTGCAACTATGTCTAGCGACGTCTTGAGTACGGCTGAAACGGAGTGTGCAGACCATACACAGGAGTGGTTTCACGGGACACACACACACACACACACACGCAAACATATGCACTGTACCCCACGTACCAGCTCATCCTTCGGCTTCTGTGGAAGCAGTTCATCCATTCCATCAATCTTCATTGACTTCAGCAAACGAATGACAGCTTCTGTCACTTGTCTACCTCGGACTGGTTGATTGCAAAATAGTTCCTGGTTCCGTTTGAACAGAACAAGAATAATGGTTAAATAAAACCTTTCAAGTTTTCTTAAATAAAAAAACTTGGTAAAGTTTTTTTTATAAAGCATTACCAAGTTTTACCTTTAATCAAAACACAGTGGTATGTTACGGTCACTGTTGCTTGAAGGGTATAGTTAGATGTGTCAGTGATTGGCTCCAAGCAAACAGTTCAGTTAACTTGCTACCACACAGTGGACAGGTAGGAATTCAATCATAACACCGAGCACTCCCTCAGTATGTGTAGCGTTAAAACCATCGCATTGATTATGGGTGATATTAATCACAACACAGTTTTCTCTTGGTCTGCGTGGCGCTAAATAAATCACATGGATAATGGTCAGGAAGTTAGAATGTAGTTATTACTGCATGAGCTTGTGTGGTATTGTGAAGTGGAGTTACACAAAGTATGTCGAACCTCTAACCAAATGCATTGCCATGCAGGATACTGAAACTGGCCGTACCGAGATTACTGGGTCAAGCACTGAAACTGACCGTACCGAGATTACTGGGTCAAGCACTGGACCTGGGTAGAATAAGTGCGTGTCAGGTGAATAGACTGATAAGACAGTACAATGCATACCATGCATACATGATGTATACCATGCATACATGATGTATACCATCCATACATGATGTATATGTAGGACTGCAATGCTGAGAACAACATGCACGTTTGCAGCACTGCACCGGTGCCATTACCTCAAGAGACTCCATTCTTCTAGCTGTCGAGTTGTTGCAACATTCCAATCTAAAAAGAATAAACATGGGGAACAATGCAGATGTCTTACTCCATAGAAGTAGGCCAGTGTGTCTCGATAACAGGAACACACTTTATCGCAGTGAGTAGAGGGTGAGGCACATCGACCAAAAGGACCCTGGCATAAGTTTCCTAAATGTCTATTCCTGAAGGTTTTCGAAGCCTTCTCATCTGAAAGGAATTACAGGCGGCAAGGAATAAGCACATTAGACAAATGCCATGGCCCTTGTTTATTACACTTATATCTCTCTTATCCAGACGGTCCGGGACCGGGCACTGCCCAGAACATGGAAATGTCTATAAATCGGAATCACATACGTTTTGATGGAGAAGGGTCAGAGATCTGGCATATGATGTCACTCTTCCCACAAAAATTGGCAAAAAGAGTAGTAATAATTCCACATAATGGAAACAAGCAAAACGGTGGGCAACACAAGGTTTTGAACAGTCAGACGTGCACAAGGTAGCACCAGACTGACAAGGAGGACTGAGAAAACCTGGTTTAGTTGGTGGACTCTAACGCATAACTTGTGCCCTACCGTTTCCTTGGCTCACCATCTATTTATGAGTGTACACTTTCAGCATGGATGCAGTGAATGGGATTTTCGGTCTTCGACCACTTTGGCGGCGGGTGTAATCTATTCATCTCCCATCGCATTAGGAGCTGCATCTGCACCTTGATCGTTGAGGGTGGTGGTGTTCCTACGGATTCGAGGAAAACTCTATCTAACTGAGTCTCTGCCCGAACCGTGAAATTTATTTTATTTTATAGCATGGGCTTAGCTATGGCAACATATGGCAACACGACGTATAGTCCTAGAATTCATCATCAAACACTGGAACAAGGTCAACACTGAACAGGGTCAGCACTCAGTTTCAAACTGCATTACCACGCACTGTCACTGAGGCTGTACACATCAACTCACGCCGCATTCAGTCACGCTCGAGCGAAGCCACAGAAAAGTGCAGTCAGTGTGCTAGCGAGCATGTGCTGTGCGCAAACTAGTAGGAATATGCTTTTGAACCACATGTATCGATATTTCTAACGCACATACCTGAGATCAATCAAAGAAGTCGAAAACTGTCCACATCTCTCAGTGAACACTGATCAATCAGAGAAGTCGAAGATCATCCACATCTCTCAGTCGACAGCAAACTAACTTCATCGAAGCAGCTGGGGAAAGCGAACTGGATATTAGTAGCTTGTGCGGCTTAGGCAAACAGAGTCAAAATGTGCCACTTGTAGCAAACTGAGGAAGAGACGCCACAATTGTACATGCAGGTAAGAGTAAGACGTCGGAAAACGAGAACTACCACTAGTATCAGTATCACAGACTCAGTATCAGAAGCAATGAAACCATTCACTGAGTCAGTGTGTTACTGACTGTGACTGTTTGAAAAAAACAGAGATGCAGTTTTGAAAAAGGTGCAGCTGCATGCATAAGTAGCCACGGATATCCGGACGCACGTGATGTTGAACTACAGTCTACACTACAGAGACTACATTCTACTTTCTAGTCTACAAAACTGAGTCGTATCTATGCAGTATCAGTATGCTTTTTGCCACAGAGACCATTACCATGGAAACTACAGCGCGGATTTTCGTCTTGTAAAATTAATGGATTATGTACATGTAAGTAAGTATATTATTACTTTGGGAATTGTTTCATTTTAATTGTTTATAGTTATGAGTGCACAATTGATATTTTTCATTGCTATTTTAAGTATATTATTAGTTGTTGACTTGTCTAGTCTTTGGAGTTTGGCCCTCATAATATTATAATCAGTGTTTCAAGGCGTTTGGGTCTTGCCATCGAGTGAGCGAGTGTAGATCTGGACGGTAGTGCCACTGCTACTACTACTACTACTACTACTACTACTACTACTACTACTACTACTACTACTACTACTACTACTACTACTACTACTACTACTACTACTACTACTACTACTACTACTACTACTACTACTACTACTACTACTACTACTACTACTACTACTACTACTACTACTACTACTACTACTACTACTACTACTACTACTACTACTACTACTACTACTACTACTACTACTACTACTACTACTACTACTACTACTACTACTACTACTACTACTACTACTACTACTACTACTACTACTACTACTACTACTACTACTACTACTACTACTACTACTACTACTACTACTACTACTACTACTACTACTACTACTACTACTACTACTACTACTACTACTACTACTACTACTACTACTACTACTACTACTACTACTACTACTACTACTACTACTACTACTACTACTACTACTACTACTACTACTACTACTACTACTACTACTACTACTACTACTACTACTACTACTACTACTACTACTACTACTACTACTACTACTACTACTACTACTACTACTACTACTACTACTACTACTACTACTACTACTACTACTACTACTACTACTACTACTACTACTACTACTACTACTACTACTACTACTACTACTACTACTACTACTACTACTACTACTACTACTACTACTACTACTACTACTACTACTACTACTACTACTACTACTACTACTACTACTACTACTACTACTACTACTACTACTACTACTACTACTACTACTACTACTACTACTACTACTACTACTACTACTACTACTACTACTACTACTACTACTACTACTACTACTACTACTACTACTACTACTACTACTACTACTACTACTACTACTACTACTACTACTACTACTACTACTACTACTACTACTACTACTACTACTACTACTACTACTACTACTACTACTACTACTACTACTACTACTACTACTACTACTACTACTACTACTACTACTACTACTACTACTACTACTACTACTACTACTACTACTACTACTACTACTACTACTACTACTACTACTACTACTACTACTACTACTACTACTACTACTACTACTACTACTACTACTACTACTACTACTACTACTACTACTACTACTACTACTACTACTACTACTACTACTACTACTACTACTACTACTACTACTACTACTACTACTACTACTACTACTACTACTACTACTACTACTACTACTACTACTACTACTACTACTACTACTACTACTACTACTACTACTACTACTACTACTACTACTACTACTACTACTACTACTACTACTACTACTACTACTACTACTACTACTACTACTACTACTACTACTACTACTACTACTACTACTACTACTACTACTACTACTACTACTACTACTACTACTACTACTACTACTACTACTACTACTACTACTACTACTACTACTACTACTACTACTACTACTACTACTACTACTACTACTACTACTACTACTACTACTACTACTACTACTACTACTACTACTACTACTACTACTACTACTACTACTACTACTACTACTACTACTACTACTACTACTACTACTACTACTACTACTACTACTACTACTACTACTACTACTACTACTACTACTACTACTACTACTACTACTACTACTACTACTACTACTACTACTACTACTACTACTACTACTACTACTACTACTACTACTACTACTACTACTACTACTACTACTACTACTACTACTACTACTACTACTACTACTACTACTACTACTACTACTACTACTACTACTACTACTACTACTACTACTACTACTACTACTACTACTACTACTACTACTACTACTACTACTACTACTACTACTACTACTACTACTACTACTACTACTACTACTACTACTACTACTACTACTACTACTACTACTACTACTACTACTACTACTACTACTACTACTACTACTACTACTACTACTACTACTACTACTACTACTACTACTACTACTACTACTACTACTACTACTACTACTACTACTACTACTACTACTACTACTACTACTACTACTACTACTACTACTACTACTACTACTACTACTACTACTACTACTACTACTACTACTACTACTACTACTACTACTACTACTACTACTACTACTACTACTACTACTACTACTACTACTACTACTACTACTACTACTACTACTACTACTACTACTACTACTACTACTACTACTACTACTACTACTACTACTACTACTACTACTACTACTACTACTACTACTACTACTACTACTACTACTACTACTACTACTACTACTACTACTACTACTACTACTACTACTACTACTACTACTACTACTACTACTACTACTACTACTACTACTACTACTACTACTACTACTACTACTACTACTACTACTACTACTACTACTACTACTACTACTACTACTACTACTACTACTACTACTACTACTACTACTACTACTACTACTACTACTACTACTACTACTACTACTACTACTACTACTACTACTACTACTACTACTACTACTACTACTACTACTACTACTACTACTACTACTACTACTACTACTACTACTACTACTACTACTACTACTACTACTACTACTACTACTACTACTACTACTACTACTACTACTACTACTACTACTACTACTACTACTACTACTACTACTACTACTACTACTACTACTACTACTACTACTACTACTACTACTACTACTACTACTACTACTACTACTACTACTACTACTACTACTACTACTACTACTACTACTACTACTACTACTACTACTACTACTACTACTACTACTACTACTACTACTACTACTACTACTACTACTACTACTACTACTACTACTACTACTACTACTACTACTACTACTACTACTACTACTACTACTACTACTACTACTACTACTACTACTACTACTACTACTACTACTACTACTACTACTACTACTACTACTACTACTACTACTACTACTACTACTACTACTACTACTACTACTACTACTACTACTACTACTACTACTACTACTACTACTACTACTACTACTACTACTACTACTACTACTACTACTACTACTACTACTACTACTACTACTACTACTACTACTACTACTACTACTACTACTACTACTACTACTACTACTACTACTACTACTACTACTACTACTACTACTACTACTACTACTACTACTACTACTACTACTACTACTACTACTACTACTACTACTACTACTACTACTACTACTACTACTACTACTACTACTACTACTACTACTACTACTACTACTACTACTACTACTACTACTACTACTACTACTACTACTACTACTACTACTACTACTACTACTACTACTACTACTACTACTACTACTACTACTACTACTACTACTACTACTACTACTACTACTACTACTACTACTACTACTACTACTACTACTACTACTACTACTACTACTACTACTACTACTACTACTACTACTACTACTACTACTACTACTACTACTACTACTACTACTACTACTACTACTACTACTACTACTACTACTACTACTACTACTACTACTACTACTACTACTACTACTACTACTACTACTACTACTACTACTACTACTACTACTACTACTACTACTACTACTACTACTACTACTACTACTACTACTACTACTACTACTACTACTACTACTACTACTACTACTACTACTACTACTACTACTACTACTACTACTACTACTACTACTACTACTACTACTACTACTACTACTACTACTACTACTACTACTACTACTACTACTACTACTACTACTACTACTACTACTACTACTACTACTACTACTACTACTACTACTACTACTACTACTACTACTACTACTACTACTACTACTACTACTACTACTACTACTACTACTACTACTACTACTACTACTACTACTACTACTACTACTACTACTACTACTACTACTACTACTACTACTACTACTACTACTACTACTACTACTACTACTACTACTACTACTACTACTACTACTACTACTACTACTACTACTACTACTACTACTACTACTACTACTACTACTACTACTACTACTACTACTACTACTACTACTACTACTACTACTACTACTACTACTACTACTACTACTACTACTACTACTACTACTACTACTACTACTACTACTACTACTACTACTACTACTACTACTACTACTACTACTACTACTACTACTACTACTACTACTACTACTACTACTACTACTACTACTACTACTACTACTACTACTACTACTACTACTACTACTACTACTACTACTACTACTACTACTACTACTACTACTACTACTACTACTACTACTACTACTACTACTACTACTACTACTACTACTACTACTACTACTACTACTAGTATTCCACTTCTGTTGCGGTGACGGAGCCGCTTGTACGTCTGATGGTCGGTGATGGTTCGGGGAGTGCCGTCCCCGATGGCGAGGAGGTGTCTTTGGCATCGCCTCAGAATCCACCCTTGTCGGTTGCTTCTGCTTCTGCTGCGTCCGTGCCCGATGGCGAGGAGGTGTCTTTAGCATCGCACCGGAATCCACCATTGTCGGTTGCTTCTGCTTCTGCTGCGTCTTCTGCTGCGTCCGTTCGTGATCCTCCTGGACCTGTGACCCGGCCAGAACCTGGGGTCCACACCACCCAGCCGGTTCGTGATAACCCGTCGGTCGCAGCCGTTACCGAGTCCCGCAAGCGAGCGGTCTCACGTCGCAAGGACAAGGAGAAGTCGCAGAAGGCACTAGTCGCGGCGTTGTATCCCGATCTGCCACCGCCTCAGAAATGCCTCACAGATATCGCCGGTGAGAAGGGCGTGTCGTCATGGCTGACGTGTGCCCCGCTTACTGCGCACCGGACAATCCTGAACAAGTCCGACTTTCGAGATGCGGTGTGCATACGCTATGGGTACCTGCCACTGGATGTCCCGTGCAAATGCGCTTGTGGAGCGGACACCACCCTACACCACTCGATGACGTGTCCACATGGGGGGTACCCGATGGCACGTCATGACGAAATCCGGGACACCCTGGCGGCTGTCCTTGGCGATGTCGTGCCAGACGTGGAGGTCGAGCCTAGACTGCTCCCTCTCGATGGCGAGGTGCTCGCCGGCCGGACCGCCAATCGCAGCGCTGAAGCTCGTTTGGACATCAGGGCCGGGGGTTTCTGGACAAGGCAGCAGGACGCTTTCTTTGATGTCAGGGTCACCCACCCTAAAGCATCCTTGCTGTCGCGTTCGGAAGCCCTTGGCCAACTGCGTACCAGCGAGTTGGAGAAGAAGCGAAAATACTGCCAGAGGATCACGGACGTCGAGCGAGGTGCCTTCACTCCGTTGGTGTTTGCTACGAATGGCATGGCTGGGGCAGAGTGTGGAATGTTCCTGAAGCGGCTTGTTCAGCGCGTGGTGGAGAAGCACTCTGACCTACAGTACTCCGTCGTCATGCACCATCTTCGTGCCAGGATTGCCTTCTGCCTCCTCCGCTGGGCCGTAACCTGTCTGCGTGGATGCCGGGGAGCTCGGGGCGTACGCCGTGGCAATTCGTTTGTCACGGAGTGCAGGCTGCTCCGGTAGTGGCATGGGGCTGTGTGGCCGATCCTAAACGGATGTTGTGACGTAACGGACATATCTGTTTTTGAGCATGTTTTTTTTTTCGTTTTTGTTTTTTTTGTTTTTTGTTTTTTTTGGTTCTACTTTTATAATAGTTTGTTTTGTTTTGTTTATCGGACAGATCGAAATAAGCATTCACACGCAGACAAATTATACATCCACCACCCTATTGGTTTATGATGTTTTTACACATATACCCCCAATAGGCTATTTATCAGACTCGAGTTTTCAACTTACACATTCCACATTCACCACTCAATCGGCTTTTGGTTTGTTCACACATACGTACCATACGCGATCTATTGGACTTGAGTTTTACCTTGTGTCCTTTTTTGCAGTCAGCAGATTCTTTTGTTGGACATTGTTTATTGAGTTTCTTGTTGCTTTTGGTTTACGCATATGCGTCATTTGCCCGTAAAAGAGGCCTTGTTACTACTACTACTACTACTACTACTACTACTACTACTACTACTACTACTACTACTACTACTACTACTACTACTACTACTACTACTACTACTACTACTACTACTACTACTACTACTACTACTACTACTACTACTACTACTACTACTACTACTACTACTACTACTACTACTACTACTACTACTACTACTACTACTACTACTACTACTACTACTACTACTACTACTACTACTACTACTACTACTACTACTACTACTACTACTACTACTACTACTACTACTACTACTACTACTACTACTACTACTACTACTACTACTACTACTACTACTACTACTACTACTACTACTACTACTACTACTACTACTACTACTACTACTACTACTACTACTACTACTACTACTACTACTACTACTACTACTACTACTACTACTACTACTACTACTACTACTACTACTACTACTACTACTACTACTACTACTACTACTACTACTACTACTACTACTACTACTACTACTACTACTACTACTACTACTACTACTACTACTACTACTACTACTACTACTACTACTACTACTACTACTACTACTACTACTACTACTACTACTACTACTACTACTACTACTACTACTACTACTACTACTACTACTACTACTACTACTACTACTACTACTACTACTACTACTACTACTACTACTACTACTACTACTACTACTACTACTACTACTACTACTACTACTACTACTACTACTACTACTACTACTACTACTACTACTACTACTACTACTACTACTACTACTACTACTACTACTACTACTACTACTACTACTACTACTACTACTACTACTACTACTACTACTACTACTACTACTACTACTACTACTACTACTACTACTACTACTACTACTACTACTACTACTACTACTACTACTACTACTACTACTACTACTACTACTACTACTACTACTACTACTACTACTACTACTACTACTACTACTACTACTACTACTACTACTACTACTACTACTACTACTACTACTACTACTACTACTACTACTACTACTACTACTACTACTACTACTACTACTACTACTACTACTACTACTACTACTACTACTACTACTACTACTACTACTACTACTACTACTACTACTACTACTACTACTACTACTACTACTACTACTACTACTACTACTACTACTACTACTACTACTACTACTACTACTACTACTACTACTACTACTACTACTACTACTACTACTACTACTACTACTACTACTACTACTACTACTACTACTACTACTACTACTACTACTACTACTACTACTACTACTACTACTACTACTACTACTACTACTACTACTACTACTACTACTACTACTACTACTACTACTACTACTACTACTACTACTACTACTACTACTACTACTACTACTACTACTACTACTACTACTACTACTACTACTACTACTACTACTACTACTACTACTACTACTACTACTACTACTACTACTACTACTACTACTACTACTACTACTACTACTACTACTACTACTACTACTACTACTACTACTACTACTACTACTACTACTACTACTACTACTACTACTACTACTACTACTACTACTACTACTACTACTACTACTACTACTACTACTACTACTACTACTACTACTACTACTACTACTACTACTACTACTACTACTACTACTACTACTACTACTACTACTACTACTACTACTACTACTACTACTACTACTACTACTACTACTACTACTACTACTACTACTACTACTACTACTACTACTACTACTACTACTACTACTACTACTACTACTACTACTACTACTACTACTACTACTACTACTACTACTACTACTACTACTACTACTACTACTACTA